GGATTCATAAAAGTAATTAATTTAGTAATGGTATTATATAAAGATAGGTTGTATATAAGGATATAGTACAGAAAAAAAGACAGATATAACGCAATTTTAATTTCAAGGTTTAAGGGAAGTTAAAGAGTGTATACACCTACACCATTGTGATCGATTCTGAGTCATATCACCTAGAGTACATGTATTCTGAAAATGATGATACAGAGTACATCAATTTACAGGCATGATCAAGTAGGCACAAAAGAAGAGCATAAATTATAAAAACAATAACAGTCCATTATTTGAACAGACAAAGATTTATTGTAGAGATGTTCAAAGCATGCAATCCAAAATGGACAATTAGAGGGATATTGTTATTATAGAATCTAGCAGTAGTTTGAGCATACATACAGTACTAATCATAAATCTTGAGAGTATAAAGTTGTTCTTAATAATTAGCACGTGAAGAACATAAGCATGCCAAAGGGGTAACACAACTATAACATCATATAAATGCGCTAGCCGACGTTTCCATGCCACATCAGTACGGTGAGATGAAATCGGAAGAACGAAAGTCAAATAACCCAAAGTAATCGTAGAGCCAGTGAGAATAATCAAGATTACATACTGAGAATATAATTCAGTAAAAAGGGATGAAAAGTTATATATGAACGAATATTATAACAAAATATTTAGAAGGTAAAAAGTGAATGTATATACACCACCAATTTTGGGGCAAGATACACAATGTCTTCAACCACTGATCATCGTTGATGAGCAGAACTCTAGCCAGGTATAGTGAGTTAACCTATATTGTTCAGACTAACGGTCATTCCTTTCATAAACTGATATCACGTCTCAGTTTGCACCTCCTCATTAAAATAGGAGAATAAAGAAAGAACGAAAACTCAAAGCGGATACTTTGTAACTACTGAAAGTGTCCATCTAACCAATGAATGTGTACTCTGAATCTTATTTAATGTGATATATTGAATTTGTGATATTTTGGTTTAGGTAACTAGACAACTAAACAACAGATAACAAGTTCGTTCAAATTAAACAAAATTTTAATAGTTAAATAGCATTACTCATTCTCAAACAATATACTTGACGAATATTCCATATAGCCCTCAAATGCCCTGGTACGGACGAGAGTGGGGAAAGTCAGCTCTTCCTCTCCAAATGCTCTCACATTGCCAGACATATATAGCCTCTGCCAAGGAATTCCTACTCACTGCCTTCTCGTGGCGGGTTAGGGTGTTGTTTACGAAATTGAGAGGACGAAAAGCGAATGCTTGGCGCTTTAACCGGGCCGGTGGACACGGAAAGTTCATCTAGGGGAGATGGAAAACTCTGTTTCCAAACCAATGGTGTACATGGGCTCCAGTATCCTAAGGGAACAAACGGCGCATAAATCAATCGTTGGTCACCGTCTACCATTGAACTGCATTTCCTTACGATGCTCTACTGCCTTTTGGATCAGATCTTTAGGTCAAGGGCTCCACGTGTAACCCCCTAAGAAAACTACCTGCTTTAATTCGTGCACCCATGATAAGAATCAGTATATTTTTTTCTGGTTTACATCATTATGCTAAACGAAGCTGTTGTTGATGGATTCCTTGAAACCAAATACAAAACAGCACCCTGACTTCGCATTAATTTCCAGTTCCGACATCACATCTTAATAAGACAGCTGTGAAATTTTCTCTCTCCTAAATTTGTTATCAACTATTCTCAGTGTAATCGACTAATTATGACGTCATTTCCAGTTCAGTTAGCAAAATTACAACCACGAAGAATTCTTTCAACTAAAGAAATTACGTCCATTTTTATGAAGTAAAAGAAATGTACAATATTCTGAGTCATGCGTGATAATGTCTCTTCCCATTGTCATGCACTATCTCTAAGACCCAAACCAGGGAGTCGTGAAAGACCAATATAAGGTAGTAATATACAGCTTTCTTTCATACCACGACACGATGTCATACACTGACCACCCGTCCTCTTTTTCCAACCAGTCCCAACTTCGGCAAATAATACACGACATGAAATTCTTTAGGACGACATTCGTAAAACATGCTCAACCCACCGAAGTCGCTGTTTTAAGATAGTGACAATAATTGAATTATCGTCACTGTATCTGAACATACGATACCGAACTTCTGCATTACTAACATGGTGTTGCCACTGGATGTCAGCAATCCTTCGGAGACAACAATGGTCAAGCACAGAGAATTGTATAACATTCTCAACTCAGAGAAGTTAGGTCTCACAAGCTTACAGCAAAACTGCTCTCACCGGAGCGTTGTAGATCCGACCTTTTATAGTCAGACTGAAATCACGAAGGGGTCAAAGATGGCTCAGATTAGCATATGCTTCTTTATCTTTCACTATACGTGAATCGGTCTCATCATTCACGCCACCACCAGCACTTTTGAAGCTACCTAGATACATGAACTTCTCGACTACTTCTATCTACTCACCACTCAGGGTAAGTACAAGATAACGGTCCTGTCAGTCTTGTACTTCAAAGGTATCTACCGAAACTAATTGCCAACTGATTAACTGTAGACTGCATGACAAATATGAAAAGTATCATTCAAAAACATCCATCTAATTTCATGAAGTTCATCACTTCAACATTGAAATTGATTTTCCCTCCTACCGAGAAAAACAACAACAACAAACAATATGCGTGAGACATAAAAATTTAAGAAAAAACAAACGATAATATGCATCATTTTTCCTTGTATAAACATTAAAAGCTTTTTTAAGGTTGATAAATGGTCACTCCATGAAATTGAATTCCCTCCTTTTTTTTAAAAAAGATTAAGCTGATCAATGTTGATCAATATGTATTTAAACAAACAAGAAACAGGTAAATTATGATGATATTGACAACCGTTTTGTTGTTTAAATTCATTTAGTATTGTTTGTTTGAATCTTTCCATTGATGTGTTAGGACTGTAACTGGTCAGTCTCTAATTGGCCATATGTTCATACTGTGCGTATTGCCTCAATGTAGCCTTCATTCACAAGCACTGTAGGCAAAGATGAATAGTGGCTAGAAGTGGAATCCAGTTTCACACGCGTTTCATCCTATTTGGTGCTCGTCAGCTGGATGTCCCTGTATCTTAAAGTTGATATTCCATCTAGGACTCAAACCCGATACCTTTCACTTCAAACACCACCGTGTTATCCATCTTTGCTTACAACGTTTCTTTTTTGTTTTGTTTTTGTTTCCTACTGATCATAAAAATTTTTTTAATTGATTCTTATTACATAAGCAAACAAAAAGATTATTTCAGACACTAATTTTATTTATTTTTTAAATTAACGTTATTGTCTTGTTGTTATGGTTGTTGTTGTTCTTGATGGTGATAGTGGTGGTGGTGGTGGTGTTGTTAGTGGTGGTAGTGGTGGTAGTCAATTGTCATGTTGATAAACACTCTTACATGTGACTAATCAAGTGTCTATAAAAAAATTATTATTGTTTTCCCTTAATTAAAATAAACAAACAATGTTTCCCTTTAATTATAACTTCTCATGGTAAAAAAAAGAAAAAAAAAGTGTGTTTATCACGAATGAATGGTCAAACATGGGAAACTTTTAATATAAATAGAATTTCAGCAACAAGCATTATCCCTTTGGTCTTAAAATGATGAAAAAAAATTTAGTATTTTCATAGTTGAAATCATGAGTCGATTGAACCTAGGATACCATGGAAAACCTGGAGTCACTGGATGGCCGTTTCGTTCTATTGTGTGACTTCTCAGCAGTGCGCATCCACAAAACCCACTGTCATCTAAAATCATGTGCTCACTAGTAAATGATTTCAAGAGATATTTCCATGAGTTCTAGTGGGAAGCAGTGACCAGTGGAGTTCTACCAACTCCAGTGTAGAGATATCAACTCACTTAAAACAATTGGTGAACGGTTGCTCAAAATCGTGGATTGGTTGGAGTTAGACATTAAAACCGTTGGATGCCGGCCATCTCAGTGCTCCATCGGTTAAGGGCTCTGGCTCGAGACTGGTAGGTCTTGGGTTCGAATCTCACGAATGCGGGATCATAGATGTGCAATGCTGAGGAGTCCCATAATAAGACGAAACGGCCATCGAGTGCTTCCAGTTTTCGATGGTGGTCTAGCTTTTAATTGACTCATGATTTCAACTAGGAAAAAAAATTGACTATTTATTGAAGTAAGTAAACTCAAAAAAATACTCTGTAATTCATTCATTTGATCACACAAGGATGTTATTATATATCCGAATTGTATTTCACTTATATTGAACGCTAGATTCAGTTCATTCGAGCTCTTTAATAACCCTTAGGTTAAATGTACACAGAGACATGAACATGAGAGAAAAGGCGCGAAAAATGGAAGAAAACTATTCGTTTGTGTACAGAAAATCTAGGGTTTTTATACTATTTTGGATGACCCTGGGTTTCCGGGAAATTGTGGAACATTACTAAACAGAGTAGGGTAGTGAACAAGAACACTAGTTGCGGATAATAGAATGTATTTAAGAATAAATTACTTACTATCTCAAAAAAAATCGGATAACCATACAGTAGTAAACAGTTGATTTACAAAATAACAATCAATCGTCTCAATCTTGACTGTTCCTCCTGCAAATATCAATCCATCTTCTCTGATTTCATTGTTCATGCATTTTTATACCGATCGTGCTTTATTTCCATTCTTTCCTTATTAATCTTCTATCGAAATATATTCTATGCCTGACCATCACCATATACTACTTATATGGATATAAGTAACCCACACTACAGTAGTAGTATTTGTAACCATCCAACTAGAAAATCGATATATGACGTTTCACTTTGAGTGTTTCTGGCAAAACTTCTACTGAATGACGATTGGATAATATGCTTCTCAGTGTTTTCAGAGACTTTGTTAATTTTTCTTTGAAGAGTTTTCTGGATCTCCCCAACACTATGTTAATTTCCATAGTAAAAATACTATTGTTTGTCTTTGTACCATAGTTCTGATATGATGCCTAATACACAAATATCTACCTCACTACTCCGTTGTATGATACAACATTTTATGGAACAATAATGAGTGACATTAAAAACCACGATGTATATAATGAGCGCTCAGTTGGTCAAATTATGCATTCAAACATTAACAAATAATCATACAAAGCATAGTGTGTTTTATTTCAAATGACAAAGCCAGTAAGTCATTTTTTTTAATTTAAAACACATGGATAGTAGCTAGCGTTTCCTCTTATCTGAGACTCGTCAGTTAGATACACTCAGTATTGTTGTGATAAGATGGTGGTTGGAGGTGCTCAACAAGAAACCCTGGACCCGGGTTTCGTGCTACTTGGAACTCGTCAGCAAGGTGTGCCTATATTATTGAAGGAAATGGTGCTCCCTGAAGGATTCGATCTTTTGTCACCCAGCTTCTCAGTCAGAGACGTTGCCACCTAGCTATTCGGGCAGTGACTGACCTCATGTAGAACTGAGATGTAATCACAGTTGATTGATCACTGAGTAGTGATCATTGTCATGTGTGTCAAGTCCTTCATAGTGCTGATCGATTGCTATCGATCAGTATTGTTGTCCACACTGGAATTCGAACTTAACTTTACCCCTTTTCAGATATCAACACATCATAGTCTGAGATATCGAGCTCAAATAGCCACTAATGTGTTAAATGGTTATGATATATACATATATCACCAAAGTTCAGTTCTTAATATAAGCCATGGGATAATTTTGACCTTTACTAATAATGACATAAAGTTACTTCTTCTTAAGTGTTTAGTAATCTCTTTGATATCACCGCTAAACATTTGAATTTCTCGTAGAAATCTATAGAATTTCATATTTCAGGATGAATACTCAGTATGATAATTATGATGACTTTAGATATGAATATGTAAACGAGTAGTCATTGTTTAAAGAAACTTAAATTAGTTACTAAACATTAGTAGGCTGATATCAAAGGATTTGAATTCATCATAGATAGTCCATATGAGACTTTAATATATAAATAATAAATATTTTTTCTAGTAGAAATCATGAATCAATTGAAGCTAGACCACAATTGAAAATCTGAAAGCATTGGATCGCCGTTTCATCTCAATATGGGACTCCTCAACAGTGTGCATCCACGATCCTGAGTCGAGAGATTGGAACTCAGAACTTACTAGTCTCGCGCTAGACCATATAATCGATAGACCACTGAGCTGGTCGGCATCTAAAGGTGTTAATGTCTAACCACAATCGATCCACGAAATTATGCGACCATCCTCCATTTTATTTAGCTAGATGCTTGTCTCTACCTGACATGCAAACTGTTGAGGAATCCCATATATAACGACGAAACGGCCATCCAGTTCTTCTAGGTTTTTCATGGTGGTCTGACTTCAATTGATTCATCATCTCAACTATATAAAATATAACAAATCTATTCATTTTGATAAGATGAATATAAAATATCAGTAATGATTTCATATTTGAATGAAAGTATAATAATCAACATTAATTTTTATGATTGGAGTTAAAATATTAACAATATTGAGGTTACGTAACGTTAAATTAGATTTTATTGAGTTTTTCGGGGGGGGGGGAATAAAAATGTATCATCATACTACTCATAATACAATTAAGACTTAAAATATTTATCCTAAAAGAAATACAAAGTATTAATAATAATTTACTTAACCACTTAATTACTTACGCCTGTTACCCTTAGTAAAAGAGTATAGATTGCTCACTAGGTTTCTCTATTGAAAATAAATTCATTTTCGGAAAAAAAAATTTTTTTTAATGAAAAATTATTTTTTTTTTAATCACTAAGTGTATCATCATACTACTCATAAGACAAAATAGACTTAAATATTTAACGCCCCCCCCCCCCAAAAAAAAAAAATTACAAAGCAATAATAATGATTTACTTAACTACTGACTTACTTAATCACGTTTGCGTTTTACCCCCCCCCCCCGTTTTTGAAAAGAATATAGACTGCCCACTAGGATTGCTCTATTTCAAAAAAAATTATTTTTATTTTCGGAAAAAAATCGAAAAATTATCTTCCTTTTTTTTTTGTATGTGTTCATAACTAAATCAATTAATCCCATAGGAGATCAAAATGGATAAATAAATAAATAAATAAATAATAGAAGGATAATAGAAAGGATCATCCAGTTTAAAGAACAAACCTACATCAAACTCATCCACCTTAGCTACAAATCTTCTCCACCACCATCTCAATAGAAAGAATAATTCTGGTATTAAATGGATCATTTTTATGGATATCAAAAATTTTTTTTTTAAAAATTAAAAAAAAATTATTTATTATTTTTTTTTATTTATTTTTTTTTATAAGTTTCGAATGATTCAATTATATGTTGCCTTATCATTAATTGTTACCATTATGGACAATAATATCAATGTCTAATCCCATGGAAACTAAATTAATCCAGAAATAAATCAAGTGCCATCTACTATATCAGTTATATGAAGTATATACCCTTTACTAGATTTACTTTTCACGAGTCTATAATCTTTTTAAAAAATTTTCGGGGGGGGGGAGTGAAATTATTTGATTTAATACAAAACAATGAAACGTATTATACACTAGAAAAAAATTCATAAAATCTCTCACTCATATACACATGAATATACATTCCTAGAAAATGACAACATCAAAAGTGGAGAATAATGGGATTATAGTCAATAACAAAATTATATAACTTAAAGGTAATCATATGAATACGGTAGAATATTTATAAATTAGTGGTAGACTATAAAGTGTTACCGTTCTCGTTCTAACCCACCTTGACAGACGATGTTTTCTGGTTCAGAAGTAGGGTGGAGGGAAGCTAGCGGTGGTCAACCTAAAACATAGCGCCAGTCCATGAATCCATTGATATTTGAACTTATCAATGTTAATAGGTGTAAATTAAGTGGTTGGGGTGTGCATGATTATCGTAATCAATGGTTAATGACTTTAAACTGCATGACTAAAATTTATTTGCAATGGCACAGTTGTATCCATCCTTTTTCTTCCCTCGAATCCTTAGACATTAAATATACATACTCACAGCTTCTATGTTGTGATTTACTGACAGACTTACTCTTTATAACAATGGCAAACTCAAATGACTGCAAACAGGGTCAATCTCTCTTCCCAACTTATATCAGTTTGTGATGCGGAGAACCTTCATAAGGAAAATTGGATAAAAAGCAGTACGGGACATAAATTAAACGTGTCGATATTTTATTGAATTTTGATGTACATACACGTGTCGTTATACTACTAACTAACATAATGAGTAGTATACTTCCAAAAGGTAGTAAATAATTGTGTAGTTTACTAGTTCAATTCATATGTCAATTTAAGCTAGACCACCATGGAAAACCTGAAAGCACTGAATGGCCATCTCGTTCTAGTATGGGACTTCTCAGTAGTACGCATCCACGATCCTGCACGCAGGACTCAAACCCAAGAACTTCGTTCTCGCGCACAAACGCTTAACCCCTAGACCACTGAGCCGGCCAACGTCCAAAAATCACCCACCTGAGCTACAAATCTTCTCCACCATCTCAAAGATGTTAATGTCCAACTCCAACCAATTCACGATAATGAGCGACCGCCCACCATTGTCTTCAGTGATTAACTGCCTCACAACAAACATGTTTGAACCCCATTAGTCACGGTGTCCCATACTATGACGAAACGGCTGTCCAGTGCTTCCAGGTTTTCAATGATAGTTTAGACCGCCGACTAAACGTTGTTTGTGGATTGTGTGAATCTATAATGACATGGGTTGTTATGTAGTAGACGTATCAATAATAATCCACCATACAGGTTTTTACATTGTACTCATCACATTGCTACTGTAGAAGACACATGTATTACCTACCTACTTACACCTGTTACTCCCAGTGGAGCATGGGCCGCCGAACAGCATTCACCAACCCAATCTGTCCTAGGCCTTCCTTTCTAGTTCTATCCAACTTTTGTTCATTCTTCTCATGTCTGTCTCTATTTCTCGTCGTAATGTGTTCTTTGGTCTTCCTCTTCGCCCTTGACCTTCAGGATTCCATGTGAGGGCTTGTCTTGTGACGCACGTCGTGAAAAAAAATAATTTCAGGTCTAAATAAACTACGGTGTACTATTTTTCACATCTGGATGAGGATGTTATAGATACCTTAGATTTTGGGTCTAAACTTTGGTCAACAGTAGTAAAGTCATCGTCCTTAACATTTAAGTGACGAAACAGTTTCCTTAGAAACACACGCATTTCTAAATTCGTTGACCAAAATTATTTTTTAGAAATGTTGACCATAGTCAATTATTTAGAGAATTATTATAAGAATGTTACACATTACACTTTAGTTGCGTAAATGATAGTCATGAACGATTGATAGCTTTGTTCATGGTCATCTGATTAACACAAGAATTGTAAAAAGATTTCTGAGCTATTCAGCACCTTCCCTGGAATATACGGCATCGTTTATAGGTGTCTCTCGTATACTACCGAAGACATTGCCATCCATACTCACAAAGCGAACATACTTTTGAGTCCATAAGATCTTTATGAAATCTCTTTCCATCTTAACCAACGATGTAAAGTTCATCGTGGTGGATCAAATCACAATTTATATTCCTTTGTTCTTTCCACATTTACCTTTTTAAGTTCTTCATTTTATTATTCATCTCTTTATTATTATTATTACTTAAACACATAAATATTGGTACAAACGTGGCACCAGATATATATGCGCCACACAAATCTCATTTCATTAGTGTGAGGGACGTGATACTGTCCAGGTGCCCAAACCGAAGTAGGTGGTTTTCTTAGAGGGCCACACCCGGAGCCTCAGACCTAAGTATCCGATCCACAAGGCAGTGGAACATCGTAAGGAGATGCAGTCCCATGGTAGCCGGTGACCAACAATTGATTCATACGTCATTTGTTCCGTCAGGATACTGGAGCCAGTGTGCACCATTGGTTTGGAATCAGAGGTTTCCAACACCCCTAGATGGACTATCCGTGTCCACCAACCCAGTTAAAGCATTCGCTTTTCAATTTCGTAAACAACACCCGTGTCACGAGAAGGCAATGAGTAGGAATTCATCTCTTTACTCTTACATAACTATTACAAATGATTGAGTTGTTAATAAAAATATTTTTTCTCTCAATTCTCTTATTAGACATTATTACCAACTATAAGATTGCATGTTTTAATTCATCTACGAAATGGTTATTTTCAATGATGTGATTATTATATCCATTTTGTTCTTTTGATTACTTAATTAACTAATTAGTAGTATATTCATAATTCCACATGAAATTGTAATATTATTATGTAACACATACCCACTTGATTGATATTATACCATTATTGAATAGAAATAAAGAAACACCATTTATATTATAGTAGAGTTATAATGAAAAACTAATGGAAAAGGACAAAAGTACCTTACCTTTCTATTCATTCAATTTTGTAAATGGGAAATTCAACTTCATTTTCAAGTAGATGTATTTCTAATTGTTAATTACATATCGAAATGTTCTTGTCTATATAAGATTATGTTCAGAAAGGAGGTTTTGTGGTGATTTTAGTAATTTTATAGTTAAAATCATGAGTCAATTGAAACTGGACCACCATGGAAAACTTATAAGCACTGGATAATAATCATATGCTCACTAGTGACTAGCTTCAAGAGATATTTCCTGGAGTTCTAGTGAGTTACAGTGACCAGTGGAGTTCAACCGTGTCTGTTGTGAGATAGTGACTCACTGAAGACAATGTTGAACGGTTTCTTAACTTTGTGGATTGGTTGAAGTTAAACATTAACAACGTTCGATGCCGGCCGGCTCAGCAGTCCAATGCTCATGCTCATGAATGATGGATCCTGGGTTGGATTTTCGCAAGGCAGAATGATGAATGCGCACTGTTGTAGAGTCCCGTGATAGAACAAAATGGTCATCCAGTTCTTCCAGGTTTTCCATGGTGGTCTAAATTCAATTGACTCATGTTTTGAAATTAATTTTAAATAACAGTAATACATAGTCTATAAGGTAGTTTATCCTTAATATCAATTATTGTTAACCATTATGTTTGAGAAAACACAGAGAAAACGTAATGTAGTGAAAAATTAGAAATGAAAATTAAGGAGTCTAAATATTTCTTTTTAGTGTACAGTCATGTTGAATATCCTGATTACTTACTACATTATGACAACAACTGGTTGAGGACAATCGAATGTATTTATCCAAACATTACAGACTATCTAAATAAATTGTAATAACCATACAATGGACAGTTAATTTGCAAATTAACAACCAGTAGTTTTGATCTTCACCGTTTCTTCCCTATTTCCATTGTTCGTGCATTTTCCTACCGATTTCGCTTCATTTCAGTTCTTTCCTCATCGGTCTTCTGCCAAAATACATTCTATGTCTGACCCACACCATATACTACTTATATGGATATAAGTAGACCACACCACACTATTACTGATTTTTACCAGATTTAAACAACAGAAACTTATATTATTTCATTAAATAGAAGATTCGCAGAATAAGATAGAACATTAATTTATACATTTTTATTACTCCCCAACGGAGCATAAGCCTCCGACCAGCATTCTTCAACCCAATCTGTCTTGGGTCTTCCTTTCTAGTTCTATCCAACGTTTGCTCATCTTTCTCATGTCTGTCTACATTTATCGGTGTATTGTGTTCTTGGGCCTTTCTCTTCCCCTTTGGCTTTCAGGATTCTATGTGAGAGCTTGTCTTGTGACGCAATTGGGTGATTTCCTCATTGTGTGTCCTATCCACCTCCAGCGCTTCTTCCTCCGCTGAAATTTGGTATTTCCTCTCCCATAGTAGCTTGTTTCTCATAGCCAACGGATCCAAAGTTGGGCATCTAATACATTTTTATACAATTAATCAAAGTGTATTCAACCACGTAAAATAGAAGAGTTTAGAACAGTCTTTTTCTCCATTGCATAGAATATATAAACGACTTTTTCATAAGCGATAGTGTTTATCAAGGATGAAACTGTTGATTAGTCAGATTGGAACTGAAAACAAAACTTAGTTATGACACTATAAGTTCAATACGCTATTTTTTTTCCTTACCGTTAGTGTTTACGATAAGTGCCTATGAAATTTAACTGTAAAGACATTGTTAAAAGAATATACCACAATCACTTTGACAAAGTTATTAACTGGAGACATGGTGGATAATATGTGAATATATGAATATTCAACGCAACTGATAGAGATAAAGTGACTTAATTACACTTTATCGTAGACCTGTCAGTAGGAAAAAGTCAGCACTTGTTTTTAAGAGATAAATATTAGAATTTACATCTCCCCCTTTCACAGTTACCTTGCGAATAAACTGAAAAACTGAAAAATTCCGAAGATTCTTTCTGGCTCATACATATGTGAAAACAATTGACAAATAGATATACGTACATAACGAATAATTAATTCTGCTAAATTGGAATCTACGGAGTCCCTCATTCTGTTTAACAATACCCTATTGAAGACTTCTCCTTGTATTGAGAGAAGAGTGATTCCTTTGTAGTTATCACACTTTCTAAGATCGCCTTTCTTTGTTATCTTGATCAGAAGTCCTTCTTTCCAGTCTGTTGGTACTTGTTCTTCATCAAAAATCTTACTGAACAGAATGTGGAGTATATTTGCCGTTAATGCCACATCTGCTTTCAGTACCTCTGCGAGTTAGATTTCTACAGGATAGGGTCACTAATCCCATGCCCAATCCTCCTCCTTTATCCAGGCTTGGGACCGGCAGTAACCGCATAGGGGCTCCAGGCTTACATAAAACTGAAATTATAATTTTCGTATTTGATCCAGGTGCAATATGATCAACGAATGTGTTCTGTTCCTGTTATTTATACAGATATCAATTACTCATAGTAATAAGTGTAAAATTAGGAGTAAGAGAAATTATGCAGATATTAGAGTCCTATGACATCATGAACAGTTATGATTAAAGGTTACTTTGGCAAAATATCCCAACCCTTCGCAACTTATAAATGCTAAACTTTAAAACCTTAACAACCTATAAATAATCTCAGCACTTTCCAAACCTTACTACTGACACTAGAAATCCGAGAGAAACGTGAGGCAGTACTAATTTCATTACTGGTCATTCTTAACCATCTAACCATTAAAGAAAGGTGATATTATTGAAGATCCCGGCTGTCCATGAGGAACACATTGTTCCCAATACCTCCTATTACAGTTGATAGTATGAATTCTTTATCAAACTTTTGTTTTTGACCTTAAAGCTATCCAACTGAACGGTTTGACAGGACCTCAAACAATAAGCGTTAATGACAAAATAATTTTACAGAATCTTTACAACAAATAACCCTATTAACTGCATTCAGGTAGTTGTTGCATGCTGGTAACACGAGAAGGCAAACACGTTATGTAATTTCATGTTGATATTTTCTTTGTTTATTCATTATTGTAGTTTAGAATGATTAAAGTACAGAATAGAAGACCCATAAAAATAGGTCCACCTGCGATCATTTGGATTGTATTACTCAGTTACATAGTTCACATAGAAAGCGCTACAACAAAGAAACTTTTTGGACATGCTAAACTGGATGGCAATTATCAGATTAATGATCATAGTGGTAAGTCAAAAAAAAGAAGATAAGTAATAATGACATTGAATACGCCCTCTTTTTCAATCATTCTACTAATAATAAATTCTAAAACAAGTGTGTTTTACACGAGGAGCAATGGCTTAGTTGCTTGATTTTTAACCAGCGAGGTCACCAGTTCGAAGACCATCAGATTTCATTAGATTTAAGTAGCTCTCATAATAAAATGCATCTTAACTTTAAATACTTAAATTGTCGATCAGTAAACAGGCTAATTAACCAAAAAGCTCATGTGGGAGTTTACAAGAATTTCAATAACAATTACAAAATCAGGTGTAAAACACAATTATTTATTACTTATTTAAACACATAAATAATGGTACAAAGGGAGCACCAGATATAGATGCGCCACATAAATTTCATTTGTATGAGAGCTGTGATACCGCCCAGGTGCCCTGACCGAAGCAGGTGATTTACTTAGAGGACCACTCACGGAGCCTTCAACATAAAGGTCTGATCCACAAGGTAGTGGAGCATCGTAAGGAGATGCAGTTACATGTTAGCCGGTGACCAACGATTGAATCATATGCCACTTGTTCATTCGGGAAAGTGGACTCCATGTGCACCATTGGTTTGGAATCAGGGTTTTCCAACTCCCCTAGGTTGACTTTCCATGTCCACCAACCCGGTTAAAGAGCCGAACATTCGTTTTTCGTCCTCTCAATTTCGTAAACAACAGTAATGTCACGAGAAGGCAGTGAGTAGGACCTCCCTGACAGAGGTTGTATATGTGTGATCATGTGAGAGCATTTGGAGAGGGAGAGCTGACTCTTCCCACTCTTGGCCGTACCAGGGCATTCGGGGGCTTTAAAATGATTTGGAAGAGATTGTCTTAAAACATATCATAGAACAAAGCTCCACTTAGAAATCCAATGAAGTTTCACAGGCTTTCATGGTATAACTTTTTATTTTCAGAAAAAAAGATGCCTCATAAACGTTCTAATAATCCCCTTAATTGTAATGTCTATTTATAAAGATCGACCCACTAGAATAAATATTCATATTTATTTTGCTTAGATCTAGTATCTGGGTTCCTGTATTCAAAAGAGCTTGCAGTTAACGACCTATTAGATGTATTGGATGATTTAAAAAATTATGTAGCACGTTATGATCATCAAATTGTCTGTGCTGGTATGGAACCAAAAAGTGAAATGTGTAAAATTGTAATACATCAATTGGCATTAAAATATTTTGAAGCTGCAATAAATACATCATATACAGGGTATAAATCTTATGTATGGAGACAAATTCATAATGATGAACTATATGGAGTAATGCTTATTTTAGATCCTAAACAAGGTAATGAACGAGATGAAATGCATCAGGTAAGTGTGAAAGAATGTTCTATCTAACAATAATTTAATACATATAAACACAACAGTATATGAGATCATGTCCTATTCTATATTGGTCTTCATAAAAAGGAACTAGAAGAAATCATCTCAGTCAGTCAGTCCCAACCTAGAACTTCGTACGTACGTACGTACATCAGTTTGAGTTACCATACCACATTAATACAGAGATGCAGTTGTCGATTCAAATTCCATAGTGGTAGAAGTAGTAAGAGTATAAGCAGTGATCGGTAAGATTAGGGTATTGTTATTGAAGGAGCATAATCCAGTGAAATAAATTTGGAAAGAGGAAAAAGATAGAGATATGAAGAATTCAGAAGATTAGAATTCAGGAGAACACAAAGAGTGGATGCACCTTCGCCATTGCAAACGATTTTGAGCCATGTCATTCAAGGTCTCTAACCATCGATTGGTATGATCTCGCGAATCCCAACCAGGTAGTCTACACCTACCAACATGGCTCAGTCCAATTGTCAGTGACTTTATGGATTTGTGCCATGTTTTGGAACTTTGGTATCCGATGTAATGCAACAGCCGAAAAAGTTTGACAATCACAGTGCATAAATTATCCACCAGCTGTGTGTTTATGTACTCAAAATTGAGCTACACTATACATTAGGGATAGTGGAGACCATTTACTCACTCAAAATGAACTAGATAAACTAGGTTCCGAACTCGAGAGCTTTTGGTTGAAAACGAAATGCTTCAAGAACCAGACCACTAGCTTCAAAAAATATTCGTTATCATAACATAGAAACTTGGTTCAAGTTACACAGAAAATGTCATATAACGTGCAATACAAATAACAAGTAATAAAACTGACCTTAGTCGGATGAATAATTACAACTGAACTGTAAATCTAGAGTATTATATCTATTATTTATCAAAGAATACTTACTGGTTACGAAATGGTCTGCTTAAAAAATTGGTAAACATCTGAAATAAATCAAAACATACACCAGACAACTGGGGAATTTTCATAGTTGAAATCATGAGTCAATTGAAGCTAGACCACCTGGAAGCACTGGACTAGCCGTTTCGTCCTGTCGTGGGACCCCTCGGCAGAGCGCAACCACGGTCCCGCCTCACGAGATTTGAACCCAGGACCTACCAGTCTCGAGCCAGAGCACTTAACCGATAGACCACTGAACCGGCCGGCATCCAACGGTGTTAATTTTTAACCTCAACCAATCCACGCGCACTGCTAAGGACCCCCACTATAGGACAAAACGGCCGTCCAGTGCTTCCAGGTTTTCCTTGGTGGTCTAGCTTCAATTGACATAACGAACAAAAATTCAGCATAACAGTCATTGAAGAGTGAATAATCCGAAAAAGAAAAACTGATTCCCACAAGTCGCTTACGATATTTATACACGTTTATTTTTTATTAATAATTTCTATATTTTATAAGAACTTTCGTCTAAGTATGAATGAATAGTTTCACAGTATTCGGACACTAAGTTAATCTAAGACATTAAGGAGAAAGAATATATTTGAGAAATGTCAGCGACTGAATTTCAAGTAAATCTAACGTTCTGCTAGACGATCTGGTTTAAGCCTTTTCAAGGAGGTATAATCAAACATCAAAATTATCGATTATAAATACAGATACATGGTTCTCCGGTTAACTGTATACCAAATAGATCATCCAATCAGTGTTTCCAATGTCGAAATTAAGTATTTGATGTAGTGCGTACGAGACATTTGGTGTGCAACAAAAAGTGTGAAAAAGGATAACAGACTGTGTATATTTGTAGGTGAACCAAAACGATAAGGTGAAAGATAGATTTGGCATACAGTTAACCGGAGAACCATGTTTGATTATACCTACTTGAAGAGGCTTGGACTAGATCGTCAAGCAGAACGTTGGATTCAATTGAAATTCAATCGCTGACATTTCTCAAATATATTCTTCCTTCTTAATTTCTATATTTCTATCAGATAAAAATCCTATTCTGCTGATTGGCAGTGTTGTTTTTCACATATCGCGCTATTTGACTGCTTGCACCAATAATCTGGTGAGCAGTCAACCCTAAGTTACACCATATCGTTGTATTTCAGTACTCAACAACATCATTCATTTGAACAGTCCTCAAACCAACGATTGTTAATAAAATAGTAGCTCATAATAGTAGCAAAATCTGTAAGATAAGAAATGAGATTAGAAAACCTAGATTTTATAGTTGCATAGCTTCTGTTGACAAGGATAATAAGTCTCACTTTTTGACGAAACTACACTATTGTGTCCGACCCAAAGTAGTAATAAGAGTGTATGTCAGACTGAGAACAACCATCCAATTTAACCTAACTGCTTAACTGTTTATTCTTTCTATTTCTAAAACAAACATTTCAGATTCTTAGAGCATCAACTTATCAAAGAGATATTTGTGCTAGTCTCTTACTGGAATCAGGAAATAATGAACGTTTACGATATATTCGATTACATAATGGTCCAGATAAATCACTTTCTGAATTGATTAAAAATCTAATGATGAGACAATTTTTAGAGGAGAGTACTCAACTTTATTTATGTACTGAATATAAAGCAGCTGGTGTACACAATGTTGCGATCTTTGCTAACCAGCTATCTGTGGTATGTTAACAAATCTAATCTATAGTATTAAGCATTTATGAATATTTTTGAGCCTGAGGAGATTGTGAGATTGATATTTATTTTCATAGTTGAAATCATGAGTCAATTGAAGCTAGACCACCATGGAATATCTGGAAGCACTGTTTGACGGCCGTTTCGTCCTATTGTGAGACTCGTCAGCAGTGCGCATCCACGATCTCAGGATCTACCAGTCTCGTGCCAGAGCACCTAACCAATAGACCACTGAGCCGGATGGCATCCAACGGTGTTAACGTCTAACTTCAACCAATCCACGATGTTTGAGCAACCATTCACCAACCGTTTTCCATGGTGGTCGAGCTTCAATTGACTCACGATTTCAAATATTCAAATACTGAAATCTCCACAAAACCCCTTCTGATATTTATTTATTTAAGCACATAAATTTCGATACAAAGTGGCACCAGATATATATGCGCCGCGAAAATCTCATTTGATTTGTATGAGGGCTGTGATACTGTCTAGGTGGAGAAATTGAGAATGATAATCAATAAAATACTAAATATTTACGAACAACCTGAATCTAGGCAGGTTAAATCATGGATTGGTTTTGTAAGCATAAGCCCTTCATGGTATGAATGACAACTAAAATAAAAGGCATATAAATGAAGGGTGATTCGTGAGAAATTTCGTCCAGCTTTTAAAGAAAAGTTCCACAATCTTTGGGTGCCGACTGCATAGAGGATATTAAACTAAAACTACATTTGAGATTGATAGTAATAAATCTTATTGAGCTTTGCAGTCTAGTCTCAGTCTCCACAGAAAAGTAATCAAAGCTACCACATATAGATTAGATTATCAAGTATTTATGTATTGCCTAATGTGTGAATGAGAGTCATTTAACATAAACTTTGTCCAAATCATTTTACGTGAAGAAATTTGTGTAGGCATATGGAAATCTTGTGTGATACAAGCTACCCATGAAGCCTTTTAAAGCAGCACATGTATACAGGGAATAAAAAGTTGAGTATATTGACAGCTCGGAAGAAATGCTCTGTTCCTAAAACTATAATTTAATGGAGAAATATTTAGCGACGTAATATCTAGTAGACTAGTGAACGCGATTAGCAAGACATTTTACGCAGATATTCTTTATTAGCAATTTTTAGTCGACCAGTGGTCCATATTCAAATGAAAGATAATTTACCTCATTTCACCTTCTCGATCTATATGTACAAATTCAGCTGCTCCTGTAGAGGAAGATATATAATGTGTGCAACCACTCTCCAAAATATGGCAGAATTTGTAGGGACACAATCCAATAACTCTGGTGTGTGTTCAGAAGTTCATAGCATTGCTGTTCATTCTTTGGCCTGATAGGAATGAACAAACAATTTCACCAAATGCTTACATCTTTTGACTGCTTTTCTTCACTCCAATATCTCTTCCCCATCCACTTACTTTTGCTGATTATTTTAACACTTATAACGCAATGTTGGTAGTTTTTAGACCGTTGCTGTTACCTTGACGTGGTGGTCGGGCTTGCCTATCGTGATTATCCAATCGAGCTATGCTGGATGGAACAATCGTTCCTCAAGATTCTACCATGCCAGACAGGTCGGTTGAAGAGCGGTAAAACTAAAAGCAGCAAACACAAGGTCCGAAGGCGAAGTCGCACTGCTGACTGTACAGAGGTTTGACGGCAGTAAGATGTTTCCTTCAGCCAACCAGCATAACAGTGATGCTGCCTTCCCACAAGGAGGGGTGGAGTTAGAAAAGGCCCACTCCAAAAATGCACACCTCGCCTTATCCCACGGATATCCGTCTCCGGCGGTAAGGTCCCAACAAGTACGGAGCTAACACAAAAACTATCCACAAAAAGGTCGTGTGTGACCAACCTCAAGCAGTTGTCCCTTGGGCACTGCGGTCACGCTATCAGGTCATTAAGACCACTTCTAATCCAATTTTTCTTTCAGATACCTCTAGAAGAACCCTTCCACGGTGTAGGCAACCGGGAAGTGATAACTGCTCTCATACCTCTAACAGTACTTAGGAGTTTTTAGACCTAGTTTGATATACATTTTCCCAAATGTTGATCCTATTTCAGTGTTGAAACATCTATTTAACATCTTATTGTTCATATCTCACCTTCCATTTACTACTGATTTACACTTTTTGCTTATTGTGTTTAGTTTACTAATATATTCCATTGTTATCATTTACTGAAAAACTGACTTGATCGGCTTCATATTTCTTCTATATGCATATGAATACTAACGTATACTAAAGTGAAGCTTGATGAACATTTATTTATTCCCAATCTAAACGTGATCTGACAATCCTAATTTTCGTTTATTAAACATGTTGTCCAATGTCTTCCAGATCATAGTCTAGGGTTGTAGATGGTTAATGGTCTTCACATACATGTACTTCTTCCCTTACTGCAATTTGAACATAGTTTACGTGAAATAACTCTTATTCGACCTTATAATAGCTCTATCCAACATCTTAAGATAACTGCGAAATACTCTAACAAAAAGTTATTCTGTGAATTTATTTATATTCCATAATATTGATCTAAGATTATTTCTCTAAAGAAACTCAGACAAGACAAAAGGGAGAAACGCTGGAGTTATGTTATGTTAACTGAAACTTTTACATATATTATATGCCCCCAAATGCGCTGATACGGCTGAGAGTGGAGCGAGTCCGCTCTCACTCTCTAAATGCTCTCACATGACCACAAATATATAGCCTCTGTCAGGGAAGTTTTACAAAGTAAAGTTAGTGTAGTTACCAAGTAGTTATGAACATCCAACTAACTAGAAGCAAGTCGGATCTATAAAACCAACGCCACAACTATAACAAACTGTTACAGTATTCCTACGCTGTTTATAAATTTGTTTATACATTTCAAAAGTCGTCACATTACCATTTTCTTTTAATTCTTAGAAACATTTCGTAAATACAGGATTTGGGATGGTTGAATGTGGTTCAAAGTTGTATGAAGTATGTGGGAATAGTTGGTTCAAGAACCGGTGCCTAATGGTCAGGACAATCACGGCTGGGGACTGTCGATCAACTTGATACTTTTGAATACTAAAACTGATTGCATTTTTCAAATATTGTCAATATTATAACTCTGAATAAAATTAATAAATTACTTAACTCAATTTCGAGAAACAATATTTTTCTAGGAAACAAATCATTCTATGTTATTCTTTATTGCTTAATAGTCATTTTATGACTTGATCCCATCAGTCAGTTAGCTACAACGTAGGGCCAGGCACATATATGCATCGGTCCAAGTTACCACACCTCATTAGCACGGCTAGATTAACACCGTAAATTCATAGAAGTACTTACTTCAACAGTAGTAATATATAAAAGAAAGATCGCATATATGGATATAATACAAGGGGAAATAAATGGTTCGTATAGAAGATTTGTAGCTCAAGTGGATGGTTTTGATGGAACTCAGAGAACAAAACTCCATCAAAATTGGTTCATAGGAAGAAACGTTTTAAAGTAATTTTAACCTCACGATTTAAGGGGAGACAAAGAATGTATACACCTACGCCATTGTGATCGATACTGAAATATGTTACTTACATTCTCCGACCATTGCCTAGGATAGTCGCGCGGACTCCGACCAAGTAGTCTGCATCTAACAACACGGCTCAGGCCAGAAGTTACTGACTATATGGAATGACGTCATGTCTTGGTTTGGCATCCTCTACCTTTCTTCCAACCGTCCCCAACACCAGTCAGCATTGTGCGTCCTGGTAATCGGTGTTTAGCCATACGTAACATGTGGCCAAACCATCTCAGTAGTTGGAGCCCTATCGTAGATGGAAAAATTTTGGCCCCACCAAACATTGTTGTGAGTCATTCGATCGACTCACGCGACACTGTTACAAGGAAAGCTACAGGTTAGGTAGCAGAAGTTAACACGGTCAAAAGCCGTGAACATGACTTTTAAAGAAGTTAAACACGTTCCTAGTTTAGCTCTTTGGAATCTAGAAGATTCGACCTTGCTAAGTGACATGCACACAATCTGCAGTTAGTGAGATCTATCATCCGGAATGTGCTGCCCGAAGAGGTTTCAGGGGTACATATCACGAAAGTAATGAAACTCGGTAAATGGGTTGGATCCATAGAAGGATCATGAAGTTAATACTCGTAAATTTTGAGGAAAGAGACGTAATATTTAACAACGCACACAAAACTCGTAATTCAAATGTTTGTATTCGACCAGACTTGCCGCTTGAGGCTCGTATCAAGTGGAAGAATGCTCCTACAGAGTTAGGAAATCGAAAGCTAAATGACGAAATGAATCTTACGATTAAGGGTTTTTGGATAGTCAGGTCTTGGAAGCCAATGCTTCCGATACCTGTATAGGTAGAACGTATGATCCCCAAAACACCTTAAATGTGTGCTACATGAATGCCCCGCTGTCTTTGAAATAAAATGTAGGAGCTAAGTTTGACGGTGGATGAGTTAATTCCTGATATAATTGTTGCCACAGAAACTTGGCTCACTGTAGCTGTAGACTGCTCTCTCATCATTTCAGGCCACATCTGTATCAAAAGTGATAGAGTCGCAAGGGAGGAGGTATAATGTTATATGTTAAGGATAACTTTCGCATACAATCAATCATATCGGAGGAGCATGTTAGTGGTACATGTGAGGTAGCATGTTGTACAATTAAGTCTAGAAACGGGTTAGTGACCGAAGAAGGAATATGTCGTAGTCCGTGTTGTCTTGCTGACGATTTTATCTTAAGACACACCTGGTTTTGGAGTAAGGCAGAATTTTGTCTCATCATTGGAAACTTCAACGCACTGTCTATCAAGTGGATAGAGCTTACAGCTCTGGATGGAGGGCTCCATAGTGACCTTCTATCATTAATTATTCAGTGTGCACTTGTAAAATGTATCGTAAAACTAACACATATTGACTTGTAACATGACCCGTCATTGATAGACCCGGTACTCACACACCACTGTGAAAATGTCATCGACATTCAACACCACCCACTAGTGAATAGTGATCATGTTGAACTTTCCTTTACGTTCGGGACACATGGTATGCAATTTGCATCTGCCCCACCCTGTCCCAATATATGGAGAGCTAGTAATTCAACAAACACACACTGTGCTATCTCGATTGACTGGTCGATCGATGCTGATGGATCGGTCAAAGATGAATGGAATAAGTTTAAGTGTACAATCCATTCCGTAACACAACCTTTTATCCTATGATTGACACGCAAGCTATCACATTTCCCTCATGGATTAATAAGGAAACCCGGAAGTTGTTGAAGCTTAGGAAACACTTCTGGGACTTATTCTTGTCAACAGGACATATATCATTTAAATGTGAGTATAAAATATTCCGGAATATATATGAAAAGACCATAGCTAAATCCCGTACCAATTGCGAACGACAGCTGGCATATGATAGCCGTGCTTGTCCAAAGCGATTGCTTTTATACGTTCAACGGTGAACAAAACGTAGTGATGGCATTCCTCCATTACTCCCTCTGGCACTGACAGTCTCCGAGGTCATAACAAGAAGGTCCACAAACAGCTGTCTAATAAACTTAAAGTGAGGTCACGTTTTTCTCATCGAGAGGTTAATGACTGGAGCGCCTTACCCGAACTAGTGGTATCAGCTTTATCAGTGAACACTTTCAAGGAGAAGCTGAACCTTCACTGGAAGGCAATCTGTCAGGATTAACACAGGTTTACTAGCCTACTATCCTCATTAATGAAGACTGACTAAAGTCGAGCTACATAAATCTTACTCGGTAAACAAGTCATGCCATGTGTTACGCAAGTAGTAATCTTTCATTCGTATGTAACATTCACAGTCACCCGAAGTCTCTCCAGTGTTTGATAATGTGATCAAGTATCAACTGCAGAACTCCTTTTAATTATAATTAATTCAATCATTTTTTATTTAGCACCCGGTTCTGAAACACTTACTGGTTTGATAACCCTTATTTGTAATCTAGATCTATTCAAAGAACAATCCCTTCCATTATTTCACAATAACTAAGGACATCAGGATTACCCAAAGTCGGCGTAACGTGCCTCTTGACTCTACGCGGTAATCAGTCTTCAGTAATAAGGATAGGAGGTCTATTGACCTATATTAATCCTTGCATTTTCTTACATTGTGGAGGTTCAACAGGTACTATGAATTGATAGACGATTCACGTAGGCTGTTGCTAATCGATACTTAGTTGAACAGTAAATTCATGGGCTTTAAAGCTCAAACAAGCACGTACCAAATCAGAAGTGTATTTCATTCGCGTGACGATGTACTCCACGCTTTCCACGAGAAATTCTCCCAGTTAACTAACCCTCTCGAGGAGATTCCATCGGTGAACAATCGTGTGGTACACCACATAGGCACCCGCTGACCCCAGTCACGGCAAAACCTCGCCGACTGGCATTGGACAAATTAGCTTTCACCAAACATGAGTTTGACAATTTGTTAACCGCTAGTATTATTCATTCTTCTCACAGTCCCTGGGCCTAACCTCTCCACATGGTTCGCAAAACGGAAGGGGTTAGTTGGGGAACATGCGGCTACTACCGAGCATTAAACATAGTTACACGTTTTGACAGCTAACCCATCCCCCACTTACACGACATCACGGCATCACTCAAGGGCACGACCATTTTTTCTAAAATCATTCTGATACGAGCATAAAATCAGATCTCAGTCGCTATTGAAAACATCGAGAAAACCGCTATCACGTCTCTTTATGGTCTGTTTGAGTTCCTACGAATGCCATTTGAATTACGGAATGCTACTCGAATTTTCCAAAGGTTCATCGATAACATAGTACGAGACTTAGATTTTGTGCACATCTATATTGATGATTTGCTAATGGTATGAACATTATCAGCACCTAACAATACTATTCCAGCGCCATAACAGTCAACCCGGACAATTGTGAACTTGAGAAGGTCGGAACATCATCCTATTCACCGACCATAAGCCCTTAACGTATGTTCTGCATACCAAGTCTGACCGCTACTCACCACGAGAGTGTAGACATTGGGGCTATGTCTGTCAGTTCTCGACAGACCTACGTCACGTTAAAGGCGAGTCGAACTATGTTGCCGATGCTCTGTCACGTATCCAAGTGAATGCAGTTACCTTGTCAGCGCCTGATCTCCCTGTTATGGTTGTCACCCAAGCAAGTGACCATTCCTGTACAAAAGCATATAATTCTACATCCCTGCAGTGAAGGGAATTACCCCGAGCTACTAACTCAGTACTATCCTATGTGATACTTCTACTGATCTTCCCCGACCGATCGTATTCTCTGTTTATCGTCTTCTCTTCTTCGATGCCTTGCATGAACTGTCCAATCCATGTTTCGCATCCACATTGCTTCTCATCGCTGCACGGCACATCTGACTATCCATGAATAAAGATGTCCGTAGGTGGGTAAAGCAATGCTTACAATGTCAACGATCAAAGTGCACAGGCGCGTAGCTGCCTCATTGGCATTTTCGCTACACCTGATGCTCGCTTTGATTACATTCATGTAGACATTATGGGACCTTTGGATCCATCGCACGGGTATGATCACATGCTCACGTACATCGATCGCTTGACAAGATGGCCCGAAGCTATTCCCATCACGTTTATTACGGCGGAGAAAATTGCTCACCGCCTCGTAGGACGATGGATATAACTGTAGGATTGTCACTCGACTGTCACAACCAACCGAGGACAACAATTGGAGTCCTAATTATTCTTCTCACTAACACGACTGCTTGGTACGGAATGCATACGCACTACTGCCTACCACCCAGCATCAAATGGTTTAGTTGAACTGAAAAGTGCTCTTCGAGTAAACGAAAAAAACATTTGGTGCGAAACCTTACCGCTCGTCCTCTTGGGTATCATAACGAGCTTAAGGGCAGAAATTCAATGTTCCGCCGCTGAACTTGTTTACTGCACGACATTGCGTCTTCCTGTGGAATGTTTCACACCACAGAGCAGTAACAAATTTGGTAAATCAGACTATATCCAACGATTGTCCGAATTTCTGCTAATACTGCCCTCGGTATCAATTCGTATACAACATCGACAGGTCGCTCCTCTTCGAGAGTTATCTACCTGATCACATGTTTTCATACGAGTAGATTCAATATGCAAACCTCTGCAACAGCCTTACGAGGGACCTTTTCACGCGATTTCCCGTCACGAAAAGGCCCTCAAGGTTGATCGACATGGCCGCGTCGAGATAGTCAGCATTGTCTCAAGCCGGCACACGTCCATGACAGTGCTCTACTTGATAAGCCGAGACTCAATGCTAAACTCAACAAACCTTCTAGCGAGATCTCTACACCTACTTCAGTTCCCACGCTAGATACATCAGAGACCGCATTCTCTACTGACGAGACTTCCGTCTCGCATCCAGATCAGCAGACCAGGCCGGCCTTGACTTAGGATGAGATTTCAGTCTCACGAGGTACGAACAAGACCACCGTCTCACGTTCCGGTCTCCGAGTACGCCTAACCGTGTCAGGTCAAATTCTCTTGTCACAACTACATTTTTCATAGTTAACGGAAGCATTGTTAACTACAATGATATTATTTGGGAGCGATTCCGCCGGTATTTCTCGCAATGCTACAACATTGGAACTGGAAGCTCTATTAATACATTTCCAATGCTGACATCCAGACTCCTATCGAAAACTGGTTTCATACCCTCCAATATCAAGCAAGTCATAGCTGCCCTGAAAAAGTCTTATGACGACGGACCTGATGGGATATAATCATCATATGGTAGTAGAGAACTCCAATTATTTTGTTTAAAACTTTTCAACCTATTTATGGAATATGAGACCCATCCATCTGTATGGAAAACATCTCTTATCACCCCTAGTTTCAAAACGGGATCACGTAGGGATATTGTTAACTATAGGCCCATTAATTTGACAGCCGTGCTATCAAGAACCATGGAAAAAATCACACACAAACAGCTATTGTCACTATTACTTTCAGCTAGTCTGATTAGCCCATCCTAACACGGGTTTAGGACTATACGCTCATGCTTCTCATTGCATCTGGAATTTTTGATCAAACTACCCAGAGAAAACATGTCAGTCAGTCAGTGATAACCCTATACTTAGATTTTAGTGAGGCTTTCGACATTGTCTCACGCAAAGTTCTTTTAAAACTCTCTTCATTTGGCATATGGAATCCCCTTCTGTCTTGGCTTAAATCTCTTCTAGAATAACGTAGCCAAATCGTCCGCTTTAGATCTTGCTACTCTTAACCAGTGAATGTAGCCAGTGGGGTTATCCAAGGAAGTGTGATTAATTCGTTACCCTTTCTCCTTTTAATTAGTGACGTGTGTTCCCTATTTCAGTATGGTAAGCCTTTCCTTTTTACCGACGACCTAAAAGTGGTTTATTCATTCTCTTCTCCTACCAAAGGAACCTATATTTCAGCTTTCTTCTAAAATACACAGGACCTGATTCATTATTATTCTATTATTATTATTTTGTTTTTCTTCCCTTTCTCAGATATGGCAAATATGATGCTAACATTAGTGGAACTTGTGTATTAAAGCATTTTTGTAGAAACCCGAAATGGTTTCTTCACAGCACTTATTAACCCACAAGCTGTTTGTGAATAATAATAATAATAATATACCATACCCACTTTGATTGCTTGACACTAATTGTCGATAGCTTTAGATTACCTCATTATGTAAGGTTATCTTTCCGTGTTATACACATGCTAAAATTTACCAAATGTGCACATTTTCGTTCTAGTTTACCTCCATGCATGTATTGACATACATACTACATCTCTACTAAAATCTTCCTCCCATTTCCTATCTTGTATGTTATCTTCACTAATTCTCACGATATACTCGCTCGTGTTTCAAACATAGGTTTTTATTTCCAAGCTGTCTTGGAACCCAATCATAGTTTCCACACCGGTTTCTATTTCCAGCACTTTGTTCAATCCATGTTCTACTTATCACTTTCCAATGATGCCTCATAAATAATTGAAAACCCCTGCTTCCAGGAGTTCAGCCAGTTGTGAGAAAACGACACAAATTGAAACAACAACCGACACGATTTCCGGCAGCTTCAATGAGATACGCCACTGAATTCATCCAGAAGCGGACAAGTTTATATCAGTTATCTCTTTCATCGACAGCCTAAAGCTTCGCTCTTAGTTGTGAACGTTTCACGATGGACCGAAACTCTTCCATTCGTCTTATTTTGTATTCGCAATGCAATTAAAGCTGACATTGGATACACTGCAGCTCAACTCGTTTATGGAACGACACTCTGACTTCCAGGAGAATTCGTGTATCCTTTATCTTCTTCAATGAATATAGATCTAAACTCCTACACGAGCAGGCTTATAAACGCAGTTCGTTCACTTAAATTTGTTTCCACTAGACCGCAATCAACTGATGTTTTTGTTCAACCTGACTTACGATATAGTACACACATCTTTGTACGTCGCGATTCAGTTGGACGACATGACATATGGAGGACGCTTCAGAGTTCTCCAGCGTGAAGATAAACACTACATCATCGATAAAAGCGGAACTAATGATAACATTAGCATCGATCGAGTAAAAGCAGGATATTTAGAAGGAAACCCTATCCATGTCGAATTTCCTTTGGTACGATTCTATGACACGAGTTTCGCAATTACGATATCTCACCCGATAACTAACAATCATGATGACACTTCGATGGTATCTGACAATCGGCTCAAAACAACGCATTCCGGAAGAACAATGACGTTTCCAGGACACCTAGACGATTACTACACGCATGACACTACATAACACTTTGTTTCGTCTCGGTATTTTTGCATGACTGTGTCAAGGAACAAACTACTTTTTATAAGCTCATATATATTCTAGTTCCAAAGGCAATAAAACTTCATTGCTGCTAATATGCTTGCTTATGTGTGTGAATTATTATTTTTTCGAGAAAACCAAAAAAGTCATTCTGCGAAAATAGTTTTTACGCCATTGCATGTTTGTGAAAACGCATTTATGTGAGTTTATTTTCCTTTATTCGACCGTTTTGTGTCCTTACGCGCCTACGAATGTGACTAGACATGCACTTACATATATCCTTTTTTCCATTTTCAGGAGGACTGGAGATGATGAGAGGCTAACCAAATTTACGATTAATCGAAACTTTCATTGTACCTGTTTTTCATTACAATACTTTACCACATGGCCGCTTATAGTAAGGAAAGACGACCAAATGCCGCTGAACATAGCAAACTATCAGAAGAGTGCTTACCAACGTTAAGCTCGTTGGTTTAAACTTCTGATTGGCCACGTCTTAAGTCGTCACCACCCCACTAGGAGGCTCACTTAGCTGAAGGCTCCCAGTCACGGATTTGCACCAGACCGCGGCTGGGCATGTCGTGCTTCTCTTTCCCTACAACCTTCAGCCCGCTTCGATCGATCACTTCTTAATACATCAGTATCTTATCAAATATATCTTTGAGTATCTTCGCTTTTGACTTCTGATTTCACTGGGTTTACACTTTTCGACTATAAAAGTTGTTACTGGTCAAGGTGTTGTTAAACTCCAAATACTTGTTTGTGGCATCTTTAGCTACTTCAGCATCCTGAACCTCATAAGTCCAGTGGTCCTGACTATATTCATCCTAGGATTATGAAAGCCTTGTCAGATGTAATTTCTGTACATTTAGCTATGCTGTTTGGCATGTCTCTGTGATAATCCAAACTGCTAAAAGACTGGAATGACTCATTAATTAGCCCGGTGTATAAGGCGGGGAGCAGAAACTTAGTTAGTAACTATCGACCGGTTAATCTAGCCAGTGTAATTCCCAAACTAATGGAAATGATTATTTGGATGGCTATTACAAACTATGAAGAAGGGCATGATCTTTCATCCAGGGAACAACAAGGTTTCCAGAAAGGCCTATCATGCTTGACGAATCTGCTCATTGCAAGAGAAGATTGATCTGCAGCAGAAGATCGAAATATTCCTGTAGATATAATTTTCATTGACATAAGTAAAGCCTTTGTTAAGGTCACTGATTCGGGTCTTATATTGAAACTGGGAGGTTTTGGAATCTATTATAAGGTCGTAGACTGGACAAGTGACTTTCTCTATGATAGGAGACAGAGGATAAGGGTAACTGGGGCCCTTTCATCATATGAACTTGTAAAAAGGTCATCCGTTCTACTCTGCATCAGTGACACAAAGGTTTGGAGACCCATACACAATATGTCAGATAGAATAATATTACAGGATGGTTTCAACCCATTGGTGGCAAGGATGGGGGGATGGTCACTAGAAGTAAGTTCTGATAAGAGCGTGGTGATGCAATTAAATTCGTGATTCATATTACTACACAATACATGGAGTTGTTACCCATAGTAATTGACTACAAAGACTTAGGAGTCATGATAAGCAGCGATCTCTAAACTACGAGCAACTGCAAGACTACTGCTGCCAATGACTTCAGAGCATTATTGCCTATTCGTGGGTATTTTCAGTATTTGAGGAGGAGATGGTTAGATTATTATACCCGACTTTCGTGCGACCACATTTGGAATATGGGATTCAAGCAGCGAGTCCTCGTTACGAGTATTAGGGGGATATGCTGGAACGAGATCGACACCGAAGGACCAAGATGGTAAAAGGCCTCTCTGGACTATGTTATGAAGACAGACTGAAACATGTCAACTTACTCCCGTTATCTTACCGTAGAATATGTGGTGATCCTATCCTTATTACTGAGGACTGATCCTCATTGTTCAAAACTTCTACTAAAGTAACTCAAGGTTATCAAATGGACAGCTATTTGAAGTTGCGTCAAGTGTGTGGATTCTCCTAGTGGTTTACGCGTGCGGACTATTTTCATGGTTTCTTTTCCTCAGTTATGCACTTTCCAATGAACGAATCGGAATAAGTCTTTTGATGTGTTGGCTTTATACTAAAAATTTGACTTGAGAAGGCATGTACAAAATTTCCCCCATGCTAGTAAATTTCGTCTTGAGACGAATAAATAACTCATTGTTGCTTGATTTCTGTAAAGTGGTGCTGTAGTTCTTGCAAAAGTTGTTAGGTTGGGTGCAATATGTGGGCACTTAACTAGTCGCCATCCTTCCCTGCCTGACCAGTATCACATGTACATGTACAGGTGCACGCGTGCACCCATTTTTTCTCAGAAATATTCATTTCCTCAGTGGTTAAAATAATTGGACGTCTTAACGTTTCATGCAGTTTTCTCTGTACTTGTATGAGGTGTAGCAACCTGAACTTCAGTCGTACCATATGAATTCGTATTTCAATATTTCTCCCTATGTTTATCTTTTATGTTCACCTAGTGTCCATATTTGTGATATATTTCTTTCAGACGACCAGGCTGTCTTGCCAGGCATTTTTTTTTATTTTGAGGACTTGCAGTGCTTCTGAAAAAATTAAATTGTTCCATATATCGTGCATTTGTAGTTCAACGATAAAGTCGAAATCAAGTAGTTTCACTGATGATGATGTTATATCTAGTGGATGATGTACTACTTCCTGAGTATTAACACTAAAGGAGAGTGAGTGACTAGCACTCTATACATAGATTGTTGGCGATATATTCCAAAAGCCATGAAAATATCTTTAGAATTTAAGCTGCATTTCGGATTATATCACTAGTAGGTCCTATCTCAACATCTTGTTCATTTGCAGCATTACTATTACACTTTCATACTTGTAAATTGTAAATCTAAAATATCTTTAGGAAAAGGACATATTAAAGCAGACCAAAAAGAGTTGAATTACTTTTTTATGTATTCAAAGTAAGGAACCCATCTAAGTTTATCTAGTCAGCAGCAGAAAAAACAAGTGATCCGTTCACAGTGAAGCGTATAAAACACCGAGTGAAATATTTCCAACAATACTGGTAGCTTTCCTAGTTAAGTGATACACATACCTACCCTTAGGTCTTGATTGAGTTTGTATGGACTTATGCATCAATACAAATGATCCTAGTGGAAATACATAATCAGTGTTCGGGGTTGATAGTAAGTCAAACCCTAGAATTATTTTTAAGAAATACGGTTCAAAATGCTCTCCATATTCACAAGGCTTTTTCTGTTAATTGACCTAGGTGCAGCATCTGATGTGATTAGGAAGAATTCTTGAAGCATACACATATATACATATATTTATGTAATGTCGACTGTCTACGTAGATCGTGGGATGGCTTGGTGTACGGTGGTTGGTAAGTTTTTGATACATTTTGCTTGATTCATAAGTGATCTTACTACATACCAACCGTAGAGTTTGTGTAAGACATATTCCACAGGTGAAATATGAGTTTTGTTGGAATTTGACATTCAGTGATTAATAATGCTCGAATTTTAATCGTTGAGTCACGAGGTAGAACCTTCATTTATCTACTTCGAGTCGGGCAACTGGGTAGTATAATCAGGATTTATATATATATATATATATATATATATATATATATATATATATAACCAATTTCGCCAAGAATGTTTTGTGTTTAAGAAGGAAATCAAAAACCATCAGGTTGTTTGTTTTCAAGTATATCTTCAAGATAAAGGCTGTTTATCAGGACTCGTATTAAATTAAACATAGTATTTACTGATGTCTATCTGTTATATATACTGTCACTATTTTTGTTAAGAATGACCGTTTATATGATGAAGTGTTTTTACTTCGACCGTTGTTACACAGACGGCCGGAACATGTTTTTTATGTTTTCCTTGAAATTTCTTGATATATTAATTTTATTGAATTAGAAATAAGTTAGGATAACATCTCATGAGGATCATAATAATGTCCTATACTGGTCTTTAATGTTTATGACTGTTCGTCTTCAAACTCTTCCTTCTTTTCGAAAGAAGGGTATTTTATCGCTGAGAAACTGAATACTTCAATCATTTATTTGAAATCAAAATCTGTGCACCAGATATTGTAAGTTACATATATCTGGTGGCTCATTTATAACTATATCAGTCGAACCTCTGTTCTTCCTGAATATATGTAAGTGAAAATTCATTTCTGAGTTACAATAGTTACAGTAGATGAAGTTGTTCTGTAATTCATTACTTAAAGTGGTTTCCTCCCAACCAGTGAGCACTAAGTTCGAACTCTGCTCCTGTGGTTTGTGTTGGGGTTGTTATAACGTGACCGCTTGGATGCCTTGTTAATGTATAACGTGATAATACCGCCAATTAGAGGGCAGCTGTTTATCGATCGGACCAATGACACGAAAACCGTACGAGCAGTCTAGAATACTTATCGGTCCTGCTTTCTGCCTAGCCCAACCAGTTAAATTCAGAACACCTATCTCAGCCTCAGCGGTATGAATCATTATATTTCAAACATACTGAGTGTATATACCAATCAAACAGATCATATCGTACCATAAAGTAGAAAATAGCATTTGTACAAGATTCAGCCAAATGTAGCTGTGAATAAGAGAGATAATAAATGATAGACAAGGCATAATTCAAGAATAGTAAATCATATAACAATAGTTTATAGGTCAAAACAAAGCTCATAATAAGGGGGACACGAATATGAATAGTTTAGTTATTTAGCAATTATACGATAAAAAGTATATGCATAGTATTGGCCCATAAATGGATCCTAAAGTTACCATTCACTGTTGTTATCGGGATACAACAAGGGTACATTACCAATTTACTTAATACAGATAATGCGACTCAAAATTGCGTGCATAAACCTGTACTTGGTAAGTAATTTGTATAAATCAGTATACTTAACTATTAAACCCGCTAAGCAGTATTATCAAGTGTAAACACAACGACTCAATCAAAAATTATTGATGCTTCGGACAAAATGATTTTCATTCCTCAATTTTTTTGTTTTGTTTATTAATAACAGGAGGCTTCGTTGCCAACGTTGTGTTAGGTGGTTTAGGCAAATCGTATAGTTTGGTTATGGAAGCGTTTCAAGAAGTATTTGAATGTGGTTCTGCCTACTTGTTTTTAGCTGGTGGTTTAATCTATACACTTATGTATTGTCTGTGTAAGTTTCTATGTATTTGAGATATTTATTTATTTACTTATTTGAACACATAAATATTGGTATAAGGAGGCACCAAAATATGTGCGCCACACAAAACGAGAATGGGAAGAGAAAAAGTAGGTAAGGTGCGTATGAGGAAAAAAAGAACCATAACAACTAAAGATTAGTGTATGTTAGTGTAATAATAATGTGGGAAACGGAAAGGTATAACCAGAAGAATTCTTTCAGTTAAGGGGGGTATGATCACTCTTTATGAAGAAAGTTAAAGAAGGTTACAGCAGGATCGCCACTGGCTTCTATTCTGAGCCATATCTGATAACGTCTCTAGCCACTGTGTTGCACCATCTCTCGAACCCCAGCCAGGGAGTCGTAAAGGACCGACAGAAGCCAGTCCTGTGTAGCTTTCTTTCATACCACGACACCATGTCATACACTGACCACCTCTCCGCTTTTTCCAACCAGTCCCAGTGTCGGCAAATAATGCACGACGTGGAATTCTCTGGGACGATATTCGTAGAACATGTCCAAGCCACGGATGTCGATGTTTAAAGATAGTGAAACTAACTGAATAATCGTCGCTGTGCCTGAACACATGATGCCGAACTTCTTCATTACTAACATGGTGTTGCCCCTGGATGTCAGCAGCTCTTTGGAGACAACGATGATCGAACACAGAGAGTTGTCTAACATCCTCAGCTTAAAGAGGCCAGGTTTCACAAACTTATGCTCGACCATAGTCCACCTCAACGGGTTATGTTTTCTGGTTCAGGAGTAGGGTGAGATTCCAGGGGTGGTCAAACTGAAACATGGCGTCAGTCCATGAATCCATTGTTATTTGAACTTATCAATGTTAGTAGGTGTAAACTACGTGGTTGGGGTGTGCATGATTATCATAACCAATGGTTAGCGACTTTAAACTGCATGGCTCAAAATCATTTGCAATGGCACAGTTGCTTCCATTTTCTTCCCTCGAGTCCTGAGACTCTTAATTCCTGATAACTCTTGTTTTTCTTTCTCTAATTTATATTTCCTTTCCGAGTTGTGTGTTCGGTGCCTAATCTTTCCCATCACTACTGATACTGTTACTACTTCTACTATTCTGGGATTCGGCCTAACAAATTCATCTCTCTGTGCTAATGGGGTATAGCCCCCAAATGCCCTGGTACGGCCGAGAGTGGGGAGAGTTCGCTCTCCCTCTCCAAATGCTCTCACATGGCCACGCGTATATAGACTCTGCCAGGGAAGTCCTACTCACTGCCTTCTCGTGGAGGGAGTGTTGTTCACAAAAGTGAGGGGACGATAAGCGAATGTCCGGCACTTTAACCGGGTTGGTGGACACGGAAAGTTCACCTAGGGGAGTTGGAAAACCCTGATTCCAAACCAATGGTGTACATGGGCTCCAGTATCCTGAGGGAACGAATGGCATATGAACCAATCGTTGGTCACCGGCTACCATGAGACTGCATCTCCTTACGATGCTACACTGCCATGTGGATCAGACCTTTAGGTCAAGGCTCCGTGTGTGGCCTCCTAAGAAAACCACCTGCTTCAGTTCGGGCACCTGGTCAGTATCTCAGCCTTCACACAAATCAAAGGGGATTTGTATGGCGCATATGTAGCTGGTGCTTCCTTGTACCAATATTTGTGTTTAAATAAATAAATAAATAATGGGGTATAACAACTCGGACCGATGTACATACGTACAGGTCTTACGTTGTGACTGACTTAATGTTTAATGGTACTATTTTTGATAATTTATCGTTCTTTGCGTAGGTCTTTTTACATTAGAGTTCGTGTAATAAGTCGAAGCTGAATATTATTTAATTACAAAGCGAGCTCTTTCGGAATACATCTTCGAACACTTCCCTGCCTGGCTTTCTAAAAAGCCACAGAAGTCAGTTTAAAGCTCAATCGTGGAGTATCTGCTCATTCTACTTACCAATAATACAATGTATAAGATCTCTAGAATTTCAGCGTAGTTTAGTTGTGGTACTACACCTAACAATTTGAGATGGTGATCTAGATTTAATCACCGAGTTTTACCATAACTAGTGAAGTACGTGAATATTTTGAATTAGAAAGTTACGTCATACCTAGCACCTTGCCTTTAACATTTTTTCATCGTCATGAAGTTCAGTTAGTGTTTACCAAGTTACTCAACTCAGTACAGTCTGTAAGTTATCTAATTCCATTCTAAGCGCGTATACAACTTATCAATGCCATTCATTTAAAGAAAATTAACCAAGTTGTTGTCAGTCCTGTTAGACAGTATTCAGATGTACTAGTGTCTTCGGCGTATATTTTTAACATTTGGTGGAACCACTAGTTTGTCGAATTTTAAGTTATTAGGGGTTTCGACATGAGCGACAAGGTGACCAATGGGTCTCGAATCCTGTATTGACGAAATGTTTTTGGGATTTAAAAGAAAATGGTAATGTGACGACTTTTGAAATGTATAAACAAATTTATAAACAGCGTAGGAATACTGTAACAGTTTGTTATAGTTGTGGCATTGGTTTTATAGATCCGACTTGCTTCTAGGTAGTTGAATGTTCATAACTACTTGGCAATTCCACTCACTTTACTTTGTAAAGCTGACTGGCTTAACTAGACTTGGATTGGCTTCAGTTCAAAAGCATTGATTCTTTATACTAGTCTTAACTGAACTGCCAATTGATCGGTTAGTATAAAGGTGATCGTAATCACTGGTTAAAGATGGTAGTATTGCTCAAAATTAATTAAAGTGGAGAAAATGTACTTGGTTTGTATTTCCTTCCTAACCTATATTGTTTCATATCTTGGTTATTTATAACTACTTGATAATTCCACTCATGATTATCCTCTTCTGCTAAAGACCATGTATCACCACAATATTATAATACAGAGAGAACTTTTGTACAGTATACTCACGCCTCGGTTTGCAGACGGATGTTCCATCTACTGCATAGGTGATGCAAGTTACCAAAAGTTATAGGAGATATCCGTTCATCATATTTCTTGTTTATGTCGGACACACTAATGTTTACCAGTGTCTCTCCTTTAAATATATTCTTTTTCATCTTTTTTACGTCTATTTAGTTTTTTACTTCCTGAATCAACTTGTGTATAATGACTGAGTTACATTATTGCTACCAGAGGAAATAAGGAACTTTTTTTGTCTGACTTAGTTGCGTGTAGCCAGTAGTTACATCTTATTCCCAGTTCAGTTGTTAGTCCTGCTTAATATGAAGTAGTAGTGAACTTATCTATATTTGCCAATAGCATTAGTTTTCTTATATTTTAGTAGTTCAATGATTTTGGTCTTTCAGTGTACTTTAGTTATCAGTCGATGCCAGCTTTAAGATATACGTACTGATCCAAACAACTTGTCTTGTATGCTGTGGATGCTAAAGGAGGTGGCAATGTGTTTAATATAGAAATTGGTATATTTTATATAATTATTCTGTTTGTGTTGATGTATTGAATTTTTATAAATTTCGCTTGTTTATAAATTTTCATTTACTGTTTTTTTTTTCCAGCTCTCGTTAACCACTTAATTTCAAAACGATATGGTAGTCGACCTGTTGTGATGGTTGGTGCTTTTGGCTCATTTATTAGTTTATTAATTGCATCATGTTCACCTAATCTTGCTCTTTGGGTTGTTGCTGTTGGTTTTGGAATAGGTACTTCATCTTTATTATAAGTTTCTTTTTTTTTCTCGTTTACAGTTTACAGACTACTGAGTATTGACTCATGTCATATCTGTATAGTTCTTTAGAACTAAAAGAATTTTATCGATAAGGTGGCAATGTAGTAACCAGTCAAAAGGACTATATTGAGTTGTGAACCAGTTGGAGGTAGTCAACGAAAAATTCTACTTGACCTAGATTCCAGTCTGGTTGGTACTTGTCAGCAAGATGTACTTGACCTCTTGAAGAAAATGACGCTCCCTGTAAGACTAATCAATTGTAAATATTGCAGTCGTACATGCGGCTAGTCAGGGCTTGAATAGCTCAATCGTCATATCTGATAGTCTCAAGCTGGACGACACTAATTTGAATACTACAGGGATTCCAGGTATCTTGTTGACGAGTACTAAGTAATACGATAACCTAAGTACAAGGTATCTGGCCAACTACCTAACATTTTTGTGTGGGTTTTTTCACCGGTAGTAGTTCGCATATTTCTTTAAATAACGAGAAAATGTGATATCGTAATCGTTTTAAAAAAGATAAAATGAAAGTACTGGGGGGTAGTAAACTCTTTATCAGTTGTTTTTTTTAATTAAAAAGTATTGTCGATTTTGTGTCATTCTGTTTTTGGCTAGATTATATTTCAATCTTTTTGACTTCTAATTAATTAGCACACACTATGTTTGCAATGTTGGTTGGTGGCTGGCTCATTGATGTTGGATCGCAGGTTCAAATACCACAGAATCTGAACGTTTTAGCATTTAACGATATACATCATAGGTGTATGATTATATCTGAACAATCAAGGAAACTACCGTTCATTCGTCATTTATTTTTCAGTCCTTAGTTTGTTTATATCTTCTAGTATTGTTTGCTAATAGTGAAGGTTTCATGGAAAGTCATTTGAACTGCCTTTGTGTTTAGTTAGTTCACTTTTTAACTCTCAGGGTTGCTTTGTGATCCAAATTTTTAATCATTTGTATCGGAAAGAGTTTTTTTTCCGTATCTGAGGTTAATAAATTGTATCGACCCCAAACATTGTTCAAAGCCCCATATTGAAATATTAAATATTGCATATATTTAATATTTCAATATGGGCAGGGGACTTCCCCGACGTTCAATGTTTTATGGCGTAAAAGTAGGTTGGAAGAAAGCTTGGGGCGGTCAGACCAAAACGTGGCATAAATCCATGAAGTCACTGACCATTGGACTGAGCCATGTTGGTAGGTGTAGACTACCTGGTTGGGATTCGCGAGATCATACCAATCGATGGTTAGAGACCTTGAATGACATGGCTCAAAATCGCTTGCAATGGTAAAGGTGCATCCACTCTTTGTGTTCTGTCAAATTCTAATCTTCTGAATTCTTCATATCTCTATCTTTTTCCTCCTTCCAAATTTATCTCACTGGATTATACTCCTTGAATAACATCTTCAAATCGTAATATTTCAGATTACTGTTGATACTCTTACTACTTCTTCCACTATGGGATTTGAATCGACAACTACATCTCTGTGTTAATGTGGTATGGCAACTGGAACTGATGTACGTACGTACGAAGTTCTACGTTGTAATTGACTGTATAATTTGTAAATTCATTTTCATTTAGATTATCGTATATTGGTTGTTTATTTTAAAATTTAACTTTGACCGTATTGTTTGATATTGTCTAGGTTATTATAAATGATTTACTTCCGTAGTGTTGTGACTGAAAATAGGATTTATTAGACGTAAACTATTTATAATTTTTTGTTTTGTAAACATCATAGTACATTCACAATTTACTGATTAGTTTAACCATAATACTGATATTGCTTAGCATGATATGATTGATTATGAATACAGTGGTCTTGAGTGCTGTTAGAGGTATGCGGGTAGTTGTCAATTCCCGGTTGCCCACACCGTGGAAGGGTTCTTCTAGAGGTATCTGAAAGGGAAATTGGATTAGAAGTATTCTTAATGACCTGAGAGTGTGACCACAGTGCACAACGGACAACTGCTTGAGGTTGGTCAGTCAGTCACAACGTAGAACTTCGTACGTACGTACATCAGTTCGAGTTGCCATACCACATTAGCACAGAGATGCAGTTGTCGATTCAAATCCCATAGTGGTAGAAGTAGTAGGAGTATAATCAGAAATCCAAAAGATTAGGGTTTGAAGAAATTATTGAAGGAGTATAGTACAGTGAAATAAATTTGGAAAGAGAAAAAGATAAAGACATGAGGAATTCAGAAGATTAGAAGTTGGTAGAACACAAAGAGTGGATGCATCTTCGCCATTGCAAACGATTTCGAGCCATGTCATTCAAAATCTCTAACCATCGGTTGCTGTCATCTCGCGAATCCCAACCAGGTAGTCTACACCTACCAACATGGCCCAGTCCACTTGTCAGTGACTTCATTGATTTGTGACACGTTTTTGTCTGGCCACCCCTAGCTTTCTTCCAACCTACTCCTACACCATGAAACATTGCACGTCGGGGCAGTCGGTGGTCGGGCATACGTAACACATGTCCAAGCCATCTCAACTGATGAAGCTTCACTACTTCATCAATCGATTTGCCATTCCTACCTAGTACTCGTTTCCTAACAACTGCATTACTTACCCGGTGGTCCCAGGATATACGAGCAATGCTTCGAAGAAACCTATGATCGAACACTAGTAGCCTACGAATATCCTCTACTCTTATTGGCCATGTTTCACTGCCATAAAGTAGGACGGAGCGAACTGCTGCACAGTAAACCCGTCCTTTGGTTGCTAGACGGATATCGCGCCTACGCCATAAATGACGCAAATTGGCGAAAGCTAGACGTTGGTCACACACGACCTTTTTGTGGATAGTTTTTGTGTTAGCTCCGTACTTGTTGGGACCTTACCGCCGGAGACGGATATCCGTGGGATAAGGCGAGGTGTGCATTTTTGGGGTGGGCCTTTTCTAACTCCACCCCTCCTTGTGGGAAGGCAGCATCGCTGTGATGCTGGTTGTCTAAAGGAAACACCTTACTGCCGTCACACCTCTGTACAGTGAGCAGTACGACTTCGCCTTCGGACCTTGGTTTTGCTGCTTTTAGTTTTACCGCTCTTCAACCGACCTGTCTGGCATGGTAGAATCTTGAGGAACGATTGTTCCATCCAGTATAGCTCGATTGGATAATCACGATAGGCAAGCCCGACAACCACATCAAGGTAGCAGCAACTGATTGATTTGTGAGTAAATTGCTTTATAGCTAGCTATAATCACTATAGGGGGCTCAGTCTGGGACAAATAGGCATCCGCTCAAATTGTCACATAGCAACGCGACAAGTTGAAATCAACGAAAGAGGGTGGCAAGTGTGTTAGTGATAATAAAGAGGTTTAAACATAATCTAAAATGTAGGTAATAATTTTGAAAATAGAAGTTTAAAGTGAGATATAAAGTAGATTCATTTTCAACATTGATCGCGGTTTTCGCGTGAACGCCATTAAGGTACACCATACCAACCAACACAGTTCAGGCTAACAGTGATTTAATGGATTGATATCATGTCTTAATCTGGCTTCTTCTTACTCTTATTCAACTCACAACTACCCTGGCCAGTATTTGGGGTCACGTTAGCTGGTAGTTGGCAAAAATTAATCCATGTTGGCGTGGCTGATCGTGGAAATCAATGGTGATCTAACTGTAATGTTTTTTTACATGTTTTATAAAATTGAGAGAAACTCTACTGACTGAAAAATGCCTTTGCTGGTGTATTCTCTATCTAAACTATATCTCATGTTATTTACTATTCTTGTGTACTTCACTTACTGTTACTTCCTGTTCTGGATTTTGTTTCTCTCCATCCTTTAATTCTCCAGAACATCATATCTGTATGTATGATGCATTTGTCTTTTGATGCTCAAATGTACCAGAAATCGCTGAATATTATAGATATAATATAAAATAATCAAAAGTAAAAGAAACAGATTCCAAACATTCTTGGATTATTACTAAGGGGATCCAAAAGACTACATCTTGTTAGCATCTTCACCAAACCAAACTAGGTCACCTGGGTACTTTTAGTCAATGAATGAGCTCCCAAGATGGGAATTAATTTATTCGCATCCGATAATGTTTATAAATAACTGTACACTATATAAGGCTTAATTCAGTCGTTAAATAAATTCTTGAGCAAGTAATGTTTTGATATGACCATTATAATGATACTACTTATCAAACCTAATATATGTTGTCTATCAACACTAGAGTTTGTGTTTCTTCTGTATATCTGGTCAAAGTGCAGAAGAGAGACCATATATAAGCTAATCAGTACCATTGGCTTATACGGAAACCATGTGTGATCATATACCGAAGAAAATTTCTTACATGATTCATATACATTTTAAATTTTTCTCATTTCCATTTTTCATAAGGTCTGTTGTTTTATGATCAAAGGAATTATCAGTCACCTATTATCTGATTATGCATAAACTAATTAACTTTACTTGTGTCTTTCTACAGGAGCATCATTATCATGCATTTATTTCACAGTGTTCGCTGTTGTTGGATGTTGTTTCAAACGATATTTAGGTTTAGCTAATGGAATTAGTGTTGCCGGTGTTAGTGTTGGTCAAATGGTATTTCCTTCATTGATTACTACTTTAAATACTACTTATGGTGCTAGAGGTGGAGGAGTAATCATGGCTGCAATTTGTTTGCATTTGCTAATCACAGCTGCATTAATGCCTCGTCATATCATTGATCCAGATGCACCTGTTGTACCAGCAGAAAAAGTTGAAACAGGTAAATCAAAACGAAGATCTTGCAAGTCACAATCAAAATCTAAAGAGGATAGAAAATTAATGGCTTCAGAAGATCAATTGGATGCTGATAAACAGTATACAGCCATTGATTCAGATAAGAAGTTACAAAGTCCCGTAGATGAATTCTTCTCAAAATTAGACAATCAAAGGTAAGTTCCGTAAATTCTAATGTTTATTTGCTCCTGCTTATTTCCCATGTAGTTCGAATAGTTTCATAGCTTTTTTTGCGTTGTGGTCATTAGTCGAAGTAATACATTAGTGTACTTTTTTCGGTGCCACGGTGATCCCAGGTGATTAGTAGAAAGGGTTAGGTCTAGGTTTAGCGTTACTCATCACTCGTCAGTCAGACATATCAATTACTGTGAGCAATAGGTCAGTTGCTATCTGGCTAGCTTTCTGATAACGTCTTTACTTTGATACTAAATGAAAAGAGTTAGAGTCCTGGAGGCGAAGATCAACTTGCTGAACGTTGTAGATACACATTACTAACAAGTGTTAAGTCGCATAAAACCTTGAAATCGATGTATACGCATGTTTGTTCGCCTCTTTTAGTTATAAGCAGAGCACTAATTTGGCTAATTTTATGTGAACACTGAATTTAATAGAAGGTTCTAAAGAGTATTATGTTTTCATAAAACCACTACATAGTTCAACTAAATCTCAATTAAATGTACTCTAATTTCTTTTCATCACTTGTCTTTTATTTATTTACAGAGATGTAGTACATTCAGCGAATGCCATTACTTCATCAATTATAAATTCTTCGTCTACACTATCATTGTCCCGTATATCTGTCCTATCATTATCAACTCGTCATGCAACATACCTTACTCGTAGTTTACTTATTGTTTATATAATTGGTAAAACATTTGGTGATGTTGGTGATGTGAGTGTTTCATTTATCGCACCAGTATTTGGAACTGAATTAGCTTTAAGTTCTACCATAGTAAGCACATTTTTTTGTACAATTCCCTTATAATATATTTAATCAGGTTGCTGTTATCTTTTGGTTTATATTGTTATATTGTATCTTAAGTTCGGTAACGTTAAATCAGGTCAACTTCGAATAAATGAGCTACGTGGATTCAATGAGAAAACAAGTTTGTCAATCATTTTTTTAAGCTAGTAACCAAAAATTGGTTGTTGCATCAGCCAAAGTTGTATATGCTGAAAGTTTTCTACATAATTTTCACATAAATGATTGTGTTTTCTCTTTCGTACACTTGTTTTGAATATTGATTTTTGATCAGTAAGTTAGCCATAAGCAACGTAGTAGCAGCATCGATGTGATAGTAAAAAAAGGATTAGTGACAGAAAATATGATTCGAGAAGAAGGAAATGATTCTCAAGACTCAAGGTATATAGAAATTAAAATAGTGAATGTTTCTGCGCCATCGAGACTGATTTTAAGCCGTGTCACCTAAAGTCTTCAACCCCTTACTGCGGTTATCGCCCGAATTTCAACCAGGTAGTCTTCACCTACTTACACGACTCAATTCTAAAGTTAGTGGCTATATTCGGTGATGACATATATTGGTTTTGCTGCCTCTTTATTTCTTCCAACTTACTATTTAAATTAAGCGGGGTAGTTGGGCTTGCGTAATACACATTCCAGCCACTTCAATCGATGAGGATTCACTGTCTTACCAACTGATTCGGTGTGTTTGTCTCGTACACTGCGTCCAATTTCATCATTGGTCACTCGGTGGTCCCAATATACGCGAGCAATGCTTCAAAAATATCTATGATCAAATATTATTATTAACCTACAAATACTCCCCATTCATAAAAGGGCATATTTCAAAGCCATAAAGTAGAACAGAATGAACAGCTGCTCAGTATAATTATATCATGGTTGGTCACCGGGTATTTCTTCTACACCATAATTGACTTGAAATGTATATTGTTTACTTGCAGAAATGATCATTTATGTTGTTGATTTAATCGCTAGTTAATATTTATAAAAATATTATTTGGATATAGATGTCTGTTTATATTAACATCTTACCCATAACTTTACATTAATGCATAAACCAATGAAATCGGTTCAAATTAGACAATCAATCAACCAAAGTTTTATTCAGTCAGCTACAACGAACGATCAGTCACATATATGCATAAGAATCGAGGTTTATGGAGATTGTAGTTATCTAATGATTGAAATAATGAGTCGATTTAAGCATGTTGTTTTAATTCATTAAATTTGTAACCTTTGAACATTTTGTAAATATTATCTTAGACATTTTAATTTATTGAATTATTTTATCTATTATTATTATTTATTTATTAAAACACATAAATATTGGTACAAACGTGGCACCAGATATATATCCACTACACAAATCTCATTTGATTTGTGTGAAGGCTGTGATACTTCCCAGGTGCCCAAACTGAAGTAGGTGGTTTTCTTAAGGGGTCACACCCGAAGCCTTTAACCTAGAGGTCTGATCGACAAGGCAGTGGAGCATCGTAAGGAGATGCAATCTCATGGTAAACGGTGACCAACAATTGGTTCATACGCCATTTGTTCCGATCCGGTTAAAGCGCCGAACATTCGCTTTTGATCATCTCAATTTCGTAAACAACACCCTCGTCACGAGAAGGCAGTCAAAAGGACTTCTCTGCGTCGGTGGGAGCAGTTTTGCTCTATGCTTGTGAAACCTGGCCTCTCCGAGTTGAGGATGTTAGACGTCTCTCTGTGTTCGATCATCGTTGTCTCCGAAGGATTGTTGACATCCAGTGGCAACACCATGTTAGTAATGCAGAGGTTCGGCATCCTGTGTTCGGGTGCAGAGATGATAATTCATTTGGTGTCACCATCTTGAAACACCAACTTCGGTGGCTTGGACATGTTTTACGAATGTCATCCCAGAGAATCCACGTCGTGCATTATTTGCCGACACTAGTTGAAAAAAGCGGAGAGGTGGTCAGTGTATGACATGGTGTCGTGGTATGAAAGAAAGCTGCAAAGGGCTAGCCTCTGTTGGTCCTTTACGACTCCCTGGCTGGGGTTCGAGAGATGGTGCAACACAGTGGCTAGAAACGTTATCAGATATGGCTCAGAATAGAAGCCAGTGGCGATCCTGCTGTAACCTTCTTTAACTTTCTTCATAAAGAGTGATCATACCCCCCTTAACTGAAAGAATTTTTCTGGCTGTACATTTCGGTCCCCGCCATCATTATTCTTCTCTTTTTTTCCTTCTTTTATATACGCATCTTCCCCCTTTCTCCTCCTATTCTCATTATTTTGTGTGGCGCATATGCATCCGGTGCCCTTTGTACCACTATGTATGTGATTAAATAAATAAATAAATAAATCCATAGGACTTCTCTGACAGTCTATATACGCGTGGCCATATGGGAGCATTTCGAGTGGGAGAGCGGACTCCCCCCACTCTCGGCCGTACCTAACTGTTAACTATAACCTTTGCCATGTTCACTTAGTTTCTACTGATTTTTATCATTCATTGTATTAGGGATGTATAATCTTATTGTACAACTATCTATTGAAGAGGGATGATCAACCAATTGAATATAGTTACTAATTCTTGATAGTATTGAGCATTTTTTTTGTATGACCAGTTGTACAAATGCTAAAAATTCTTGTACCTAAGACATGTATTGTATTTCGAATATGATAATGTACTTAGGGCAAGTGTTTTGTTTTGGCATTTTGTTGTGTAATATATTCACCGTTATTCAGTCAGTCAATCAGCTACAACGTAGGATCAGGCACATTTATGCATCGGTCCAAGTTGCCATACCTCGTTAGCACAACAAGATGAACACCGAATTCATAGAAGTAGTTAATTTAGTGGTGGTAATATATAAAAGAAAGGTTGTATATAAGTATATGGTACAGGAAGGAAGACAGATATGAAGCAATTTTAATCTCAAGGTTTGTGGGAATATAACTAACGTATACACCTGCGACATTGTGATCGATTCTGAGCCATGTCACTTAGAGTCTACAACCATTGGTTACGATAGTCACGCGGACTTCAACCAAGTAGTCTGCATCTACCAACATAGCTTAGACTAGAAGTTAGTGACTTCAAGCACTAATGCCACATTTTAGTTTGGCCGCCCCTAACTTTCTTCCAACCATCGCCAATACCAGCCAGCATAGCGCATCGTGGTAATCAGTGTTTAGGCATACGTAACACATGGCCCAACCATCTCAGTCGATGAAGATTCATGACCTCATCAACTGTTTTATCATCATTCCCTAATACCCTGTGTTTAACCTCACTATTACTTACCTGGTGATCCTAGCAGATGCGAGTAATATTTCTAAGATATCTGTGGTCAAATACTAATAACTTCTGAGTATCTTCTACTCTTAATGGCCACCGTCCATAATTTTGTTGGTTCCTTCAAAGTTTACATTTAATTACAGCATTAAAATTTCTTACTTATTTATACCTGACTAAATTATTAAAATGTGCCCAAGTATAACTAGATATTTTCAAACAATGTCTAATCACATTGATAGTACACTATAAAACAGAATAATGTAATGTATTTGCTAACATGTACTATTCATGAATGTTGTTTGTATAGAGATAGATAGTCGTATTATTTGAATCTACCGCTTGAAGAAACCATCTAATGTTTGTTGACGTCATTGATCAGTTTTAAATGCTATAACATTTTTAAATTTTGTGCCGTATTCTTTTCAGATATTCAATAGTAACCAAAATATTTGTTTGTTTATTATTTTTTTTTTAATTTGACCTTTTTTTTTAATTTTTACTTTTATTTGTTTGTCTGTTTGTTTGTTTGTTTATGTCTGACTTAAAAATGTTTTCAATTTTTGACAATTTTGTTTTATTTTCTCTTTATTGAAAACAATCATATAGATGTTGTTAGCTTGATTCAAGTTTCAAATCACTAAGGGTTATTTATATAGATATACGGGTAGTATTCATGTATTCATGCATCTATTTATTGTCTACTACTGTTTCATTCATCTTCTATAGTTGTATATTCAATTGTAACAAATATTAAATTTCTGACCAGTATTTCAGTTAATTTAGAATACTACTATCATCATTACTAATATTATTCAACTTGAAAAATCTGTCTGTATAGAATTATCCTTTTTTAAGTTGTCTAGTTCGTTATAAAGTCTGTTTCATTTCAAAGTTCATTTATGTGGAAGTAATTTTCATCATGGGATAGTATTATATGTGGAGAATGGGTTAGTAGATGTCGTGTTCTGGTTTGGAGATACTCTAAATCTTCTAATCTCATAGTAACCAAATTGACTTTATTCTATTAAATCATGACGTTTACAACTTAACTTGAATTACAAGCGACCTAATTAAAAAAAAGATACAATAGTTTATCTTGTCAGTTGACTATTTTTAGTATTGAAGGTTTCCGTGTTAGACAGTTTCACCTATTATGGAATAATCTTTTATGGACCCAATTTGTGTACTACTTTCATTAAGGTTCATAATATAGAGAAATCACTTGTTAATTTATCGAATTACTGTTATTTTATAGATGTGATCATGAGTCAATTGAAGTTAGATCACCATGGAAAACTTATCGGTTAAGAGCTCTGTCGCGAGACTGGTAGGTCTTGGGTTGGAATCTCGCGAGGCGGGATCGTGGATGCGCACTGCTGAGGAGTACCGTAATAGGATGAAACGGCCGTCCAGTGCTTCCAGGTTTTCCATGGTGGTCTGGCTTCAATTGACTCATGATCTCATCTATAAAATTACTAAAATCTCCACGAAACCTCCTTCTGATACTGTTATTTTAGTCCACCAAAAAGTTTAGTTCTTCAATATCATCCTTATCATAAAATATTTGCTAGTAGGGATATGTGTTTCATAAAGAATTGTCTGACGTTCAGCATCCTCTTGTTCATAAATGTTATGCTTTAGTCCTGTTAACCAAAACTAGTTTAAGTACTCAATACAAAACATTTTTACTGGTTATTGTTAAGTGTATTAAGGAAAGCAGTTGAAAACAGGTATTTGCTTAAATTGTGTTTTCCAATGTATTTTCATGTGAGTACTCAAACTGAGAGGACGAAAAGTGAATGTCCGGCGCTTTAACCGCGTTGGTGGACACGGAAAGTTCACTTAGGGGAGTTGGAAAACCCTGATTCCAAGCCAATGGTGCATATGGTCTCCAGAATCCTGGTTGGACAAATGGCGTATCAACCAATCGTTGGTCACTGGCTACCATGAGACTGCATCTCCTTACGATGCTCCACTGCCTTGTGGATCGCATCTTTAGGACAAAGGCTCCATGTGTGCCCCCTAAGAAAACCACCTACTTCAGTTTGGACACCTGAGAAGTATCAAAGCCCTCACATAAATCAAATGAGATTTGTGTGGCGCATATGTATCTGGTGCCCCCTTTTGTACCAATATTTATATGTTTGAATAAATAAATACTCAAATTTATGTGCTTTTTGTCAATTTCCAAAACTTTTAACTCGTTAGAACAAGTTGGATAGATTTGTAGTGTAAAGTTTTGCATTTCAAATTAAGAAGTTACTATCAATTAGATTTATGAATATAAGTTAAAGTTTCAACCAACAATTGGAGCTGGTAAATCTCTTTTGAAACCTGACCGTTCAGAATTAGCTTCTGAACAATATTGTATTTTCTCATTGTTTTTTGTTCACAAACCACCAAGGCGAATATTTATATATCTACTTTTGCTCTCATTTTGAATGATCTTATATTTTCGGTCTGGAGAATATATTCAACATTAAATTAACCCTGATGTATTATTTATGTTTTTGAATTATTGTTTCTTCCATTATGTTTATCAACAGATCAACAGAGCTATAGCTGTTGCTGGTATCGGTGATTTAATCACACGTGTGGGAGTTGGTTGGCTAACAGATAGACCAGCATGTGTCGGTCGTCGTGGCTTATTATTAGCTATTGTATGGATCGTAGAAGGTTTAAATGCTTTTTTATTTGCTGAACTTAGCCGATTATATGGAAATTATACTGTAAGTCTATAAACATTAATGCTTGTCTAGCTTAATAATTTCTGTCTGTTATGCTAACTAAATAAAATAACATTGAAATCTTGGATGTAGTACTCGAAAAAGATGAAAAACGATTGTGTCTACCCTGTTATCATATAGATTTTGAGTCCAACCTATCATTCTGTGATCTGTACTTTTGAAGTCTCCATTATTCTCATTTGAATCAATCTGATTATTAGGGTTGGTATTAAAACGACTACTATTTTTTTCTTTAACCTTAACTGCTTATGGGTTTCTGACAATCCTATTTCGACATGTGTTCGGTGTTAAGGTGGACAGTTTTACAGAGAATTCATAAAAAAACCAACCATTTAAACAGATCCTTCTTTTTCTAATTTCACTCATATACGTACCTTGGTATTTTTACGACAGTTGAGCAGTATTGTAAATAAAAATATGAATCGATAAATATACGGTATGCATATACCCCATCTACTGCTTCAGATTAACAGGTTTTACAATACTCCAATTCTTTAAAGTGTCTTACTCGGGAAGGTGTAGAAAAGAAATTATCGAGCAGGTCATTTTTATTACTCTAGCTTTCTCTGACAGCTGATTCTACCGGAGTTGTTTAACTTTTAAAATAGGTGGACTAAATGTTTTTGGAAATAGATCATCTAACATCCCAAGAATGTCACTATTTTCTACGTACTTCAAGTCAGTAGCAAATCTGTCATATAAAATTTTGATTTTAATAAAACTTATATAAATGGCATCATATGTATCAGTAAGCATATACAAGAATTGAGCAGGGATAGTAGTAGCAGGCAACCTTGACAATTACTTCTTATCACTGTGTGCAAATATTTTTTGTCATTTTAAATTAATAAAACTGATTCCTCAGTGGTTTTGTTATTATTTAATATATTGTAATAATCAAGAAACTGTGACCTTATTTTTTTGCATACCTCAACTTGTATGATAATTAGTTCTACTTACCATTCTTGAGGACCACAATTCATCAAGTCCTTCTATTCTATCTCATTTTAAGTATACCATAGTTTTCTTAACTTTAGTAAGATTTTAGTGTTGTTTCAATATCTGATTCAGATGTTGGTATAAGTTTCATGTGTCATGGAATTTTGATACGATGAATGAAGCAATAGACTTTGTTACGACTTTTACTTCCTCTAAATAGTCATCTTCTAAGAAGGTCATCTTCTCAGCATCAGTCGAGCTGCAAAGCTACTACAACGACGCCAATCCAGCGACCTCACTAAAGCATTCAATCGGTAGTAGCGACGGACAAATGAGCAATGGAAAACACTAAACACCAAAAAACCTATAGGATATCAGTTCACAGCCATAGTTAAGTAATCAGATCTTTCGTAGAGGGCATTTCTATGCTTTTTTTAAAAACTGGTTTTGAAGCATGTCATTTAGGTTCTTCCATATAGGTTTTAGTTAACCACTACAAAACGTATAAATGCTTATGCATGGCTAGTGTTAATTAACAGTCAGTTAATGAATAACTTCACGACTCAACAACATACCTTCTCATTAATCAAGTTCTCTTTTTTTCTATCAGCCTAGATTTATATATCAGTCAATTGTGTTGTATTTATTAAAAATATATTATCAACTATTGACATTAGTCAATTAAGTTTTTCAACTTGATTTAATTTCCTCCCCCGAATGCCCTTGTACGGCCGAGAGTGCGGAGAGTCACCTCTCCCTCTCGAAATGCTCTCATATAGCCACTCGTATATAGCCTATGCCAGGGAAGTCCTACTCACTGCTTTCTCGTGCCACAGGTGTTGTTTACGAAATTGAGAGGACGAAAAGTGAATGTCCGGTGCTTTAACTGGGTTGGTGGACACGGAAAGTTCACCTAGGTGAGTTGGAAAACCCTGATTCCAAACCAATGGTACACATGGACTCCAGTTTCCTGAGGAAACAAATGGCGTATGAATCAATCGTTGGTCATCGTCTACCATGTGACTATATCTCCTCACGATGCTGCACTGCCTTGTGGATTAGACATTTAGATTAAATTTTCCTGGTGTGGCCCCTTAAGAAAACCACCTGTTTCAGTTTGGGCACCTGGTCAGTATCACAGCCCTCATCACAAATCAACTGAGATTTGTGCGGCGTATATGTACCTGGTGCTTCCTCTTTACTTATACATATCTTGATTGATCATTTAGTTCAGTTTTAATCAAATGCTACTGTAAAACAAATCTCTTTTTATCTTTCACTTTTAAAATACAACTATGTTAATCATTATAAAAAATAGCTTGTATGATTGTGTGTTGTTTAAGTAATTATCACAATTCTACTATAATTAGAATATCACTTGCCAAAATTATTTCAATAATACGGATCATTGATCGAATTGATTTGGAAAAAAATTGATTTGTATCAATATTTTTTTGTTACAAAAAAAAATAATAAAAGTTTGTACCCATTTTGTTTCAATGAATACTAAATCAATAAATGATAGTTATCAGAAGGGGGGTTTCATGGAGATTTTAGTAATTTTATATATAGTTGAGATCATGAATCAATTGGAGCTAGATCACCAGTGCTTCTAGGTTTTACATGGTGGTGGTCTAGCTTCAATTGACTCATGATCTCAACTATATAAAATGTAGTTTATAAAACAGTTAAACTGTGGTTACCAATGGAATCTCAAAATGCTTGAAAAATTACTGGAGTAATTTGGGATCACTATTTGAGGAAAGCTGAATTTTTAGGCGTATGGTATAAGGTAAATATGGAAACTCTGTTGATGAATTAGGGTGGTTTGTCATATTGAAATTATCTGCACGTGATGCTGATATACTAATAAAGACTGGCAAGAACTTATTATTATTATTATTATTATTATTATTATTAGCTTGATTCAATATTATATTATTTGGTACAAAATCGAATTCTCAGCATAAAGTATTTCAACATGTTTACGTTTCTTATTTCTTCGTTGCTCCTGATGATAAACATTCAGTGATCGCCAGTTGGATGTCAGCAGTTCAGTCAATCGACATATGAATAATGTATATTCTTTTTGCTGCATGTTCCCAGCAAACACGACATCTCTGATTAGACCTTTTGTAACTTTTACAGCGGAAGGTAGTACAGTTTTCAGAAACGCAACGGAATAGGTTGTGTGCTTAATAGCCATAATGATGTATTAAAACAAACAATATTAGATAACTTGTTGAAATATATAGATGACGGGAAACAGGTAGCCCAGATGTTTAAGCAGGCCGCCCAGTCCACAATTGAAGTCCTAAGTATTATCAATCAAATTCATTTAAATCCCTACGAATAGTGAAATATCATCGCTAAGCAAGAGAAAGGTTCAGAATAAATATCAATCTATTGTCAAACTAACGTATTGGGTCAAGAACAGCGTTTCTACAACTGCTAAACATTGAGAAATCAGAATAGCCGTCAGCCTATTCTGAGGTCAGAATCTTCAATGCATACGTCAAAACAGTTCTATTGTACAGAGCTGAAACTTGGAGAACTAACGCAACCATCATCAAAAAATTTACAAGTATTTATAGGCAATCGTCTACGCAAGATACTCTATGTCCGTTGATCGGAAACCATCAGCAACAGACTACTGTTGTAGAGAACAAACCAGATTTCATCTAAAGAGGAAATTAACAAAGACATTGGAGATAGATGGGACAAACATTTTGGAAATCATCAAACTGCACCACGAGGCAAGGCCTAACTTGGAATGCTGACAGGAAAAGGAAAAATGGAAGATCAAAGAACACATTGCATCGGGAATTGGAAGCAGACATTAAAAGAATCAATAGCCATTGGGAAGAACTGGAATTAATTCTGCAATTTAGAGTTGTTTGGGGAATCATATTGGATGGTCTGTGCTCCTCTTCGAGGAGTAACAGGCGTAAGTAAGTAAGTAATTTACTGGGTTAGTTCACTGAAGTGGGATCATAAAAACAACTGAAAAAGTTTATTTCAACACTCATATCTCCCAATGTTATTGATCAATTACAAACTTTCCATAAGTAATAAATCACTTTTTCTTAATTTGAATCAGTGTTGAGTTACATACTTGTTTGCAGTACCAATTACATTACATTTAAGTTTATTTTAAACATAATGAAACTACTACAATTGTCTGATTCACTTCACAATTTTAGATCCGTAGGAACATTCCGGTAACATTGTATCATTGCTTTTTTAAGTCTTAGACTATTCGATAGAAACAGAGAAATAAACTAGTATTTCATCATTTAACACTATGAATTGACAAATTAAAATATTCGCCCAACATGTTTACACTTACAAATCGACTATCGTAACCAATCGTTGGAGACTCTGTGTGATATGGCTCAAAATCGATTACAATGGCTCTGGTGTAGTGTATACACTTTTTTGTCTTCCCTTAAACCTTGAAATTATAATTGCGTTATATCTATCTTTTTTTCTGTACTATATCCTTATATACAACCTATCTTTTATATACTACCATCACTAAATTAATTATTTCTATGAATTTGGTGTTTATCTTGTTGTGCTAATGAAGTATGACAACTTGAACCTATGCATATATGTGACTGGTCCTACGTTGTAACTGATTGACTGAACTCTCTAAATAATAATTCTAATCTGCATCAAAAACTTTTGAAACATGTTCTCCAATCGTAGTCAATAAGTAATTAAGTAAGCTCAATATTGGACTGAATTGATGATATTTATATTTTGACATTTTCTTGCAAATTACATATTCATCACTTACATACTCTTATTTTTAACACAGTATACAATCAATTATGATACCCTATGTAAAATTGATTTGAATTAGTTAAGTGATTAATTCATCGTTGTATATACATCCACCCATCTATCTGTCCAATTGTAATAATAGTGATAATAATCATAATATAGCAATGTAATGTATTAATTCATGTTTTGTATGTAATGTATCTTTTCATTTTCTCTAGACTATAACTAATGTTAATGGTGATGTTGTTGACAGTAATGATAAAACAGTACTGATAGCATTTTACTTTATATGCTCTGCTATTCATGGTATATGTAGTGGAACTGCAATGACTCAAATGGTTGTAGTTTTATGCGATTGGGTTGGTTCATCACAATTAGCACAATCTTTAGCAATAACTATGGTTATTTTAGGATTTGCTATAACACCGGGACAATTTTTGATGGGTAAGTGTGATCTTTTTTTTCTTAGAACACATTACGGGATCTATTGATTCAAAAGCCCAAATAATTGATTGTCATGTAATTTAATAAATATCTTTTAGTGGTCTGGTCGGATTTGTTACAACTTATTGTCTATTTCGACTGAATATATTGACTTCTATATCTTGTCTAATAGAGTCGTGTTTTGATTGAAACATATCAATTCCGTAGATAATAGGTGTCTCAAAATCTACTAGCCAAGCATAGTGATAGTAGTTTAACTCAACAATATAAATCCCACATATCATTATATAGTAAGAAATTGCCTGTTAACTTTGAATCAGACTTAACAATTTTTCCCATCTACCATCAGAATGTGTTCAGTTAACATGGTAGCATTCATTGAATCATACTGAGTCGATGTTTGTTATCTTACTACTTAACTGACCAAACGGTCGTTTTACTATGAATCGAATTATTTTAATTGAATATGTATAACGTGAATTGATTATGAAGCCAGTTGATATAAAATTGAGTAATGTTGTTGCATTCAAACGATATCTTTAATTAAGCTACACATATAATTGTTGGTTATTGCCGTCATATATTCTCTCGAATACGTTTCGTATCCATGCATTAAGTTATAAGTTATTATAAAACCGATAACGTGACTGACGTAAATAAAAAAGGATACAATATGTTTCTGAGTTCCTTGTTATAACAGCCAAAAAAATGACTGGTGGTTATTGAATATGTGGTATACAGCTCAGCTCATAAGCGATCTTTAGATTCATGCATTGGATTCGGTCTTTTACATGATAAACAAAAATTAAGCATATTAGTCAAATCTCAACTAATTGGCAAGTGAATTATTTACAAAACTGTTTACTTTTAGTTGTTTATGACGTTTAACCATGTGCATGTCTCTGTTAACAATTTGTAGATAATTTATAGAGTTGAGATCATGAGTGAATTGAAGCTGGACCACCGTGGAAAACCTGGAAGCACTATTATGGGACTCCTCAGCAGTGCGCATCCACGAACCCACTCTCGCGGGATTCGAACCCAGGACCGTTGGATGCCAGCTCAGTGGTCTATCGGTTAAGGATCTCAGCTGGAAACTGATAGGTCCTGGGTTCGAATCCCGCGAGAGTGGGTTCGTGGATGCGCACTGCTGAGTCCCATAATAGGACGAAATGGCCGTCCAGTGCTTCCAGGTTTTCCATGGTGGTCTAGCTTCAATTGACTCATGATCTCAACTCTATAAATTACTAAAATCTCTACAAAACCCCTTCTGATAATTTGTAGATAAACCTATTATTTTATTCTATGAAAAAACCGGCATTTCTGTCTAGTTCTCTTGTCTTTGACATCAGCTCATTGATCGAGGGGTTGAGTCAGTTATCTAGGCAAGCAAATGTTTGACAAGACCTCGAACGATAATTTATAGTTATGGTAGTAGGAAAGAATTTAATGTGTATTGCATAGAGCACAGTGTAAACGACCAACATTACGAAATTCAGCGAAGAGATCTCTTTTCAACGAATTTATTATCAAGCTGTACAGTCGTATGTATATGAAATTATGTTTTGTTAACGTACTAGTTCAGTGAGTAAATGTGAACACGAATAACCAAGATGATGTAATAGAAAGATTATAATTACTAGATTATGTAATAAGATTAATAACAATAGACTTAATAAGTTAGTAACGAATTCTAACATCAATGTTCTAAGATGATTAAAATGTTTTTGTTACAATAATTAAAGGTCATAGAGCGGTGTAAAAAATAAATAGTGAACATTTAGGAATGAAATAATGAGAATATGAGACATAGTTAAAGGGGGGATGTAGTAATAATATTAATAATGAAGGCCAAAGTCACGATAACGATAGGATTTACTTCTTTTGTACGCATAGTTCTGGCTTGAGCTTATGGACAGTCAGAGCTTCGGCTATTTTTGGGAGTTAGATACGAAGAAATCTAGGTAGATTTGAACGAATCGTATGTACAACCTTAAAATCAAACTATGGATTAGTAGAATAATTACAGTTAATTAGATGTTCAAGTATATAACTGCTTTCCTCTCACCCTTGTGGAACCACACTGGGAAGTGTTCCCGTATCCGAGTTGAAATCCAGCTCTGGTTACGGTCAATGTACCTTGCTCCACAAAAGCAGCAGATGCATATGGAGACGACCAGACGAGGAAGCTTATCTTTTATGGATACAGAAAATAAGTTCCTACTAGTGAACGTTATTCGCAGTTTTGCCGCATTCAATGTTCTTTTAATCGCTGTCGTTAAATTTGTAAGGTCACAACAAATTAGCGACGACCTTGATCAAGTCATAACATGTAGTATGCCCTGGTACGGCCGAGAGTGGGGAGAGTCCGCTCTCCTTCTCCAAATGCTCTCACATGGCCACGCGAATATATAGCCTCTGCCAGAGTAGTCCTACTCACTGCCTTCTCGTGGCGGTCTTGTTGTTTACGAAATTGAGAGGACGAAAAGCGAACGTCCTGTGCTTTAACCGGGTTGGTGAACACGGAAAGTTCACCTAGGGGAGTTGAAAAACCTTGATTCCAAACCAATGGTGCTCATGGGCTCTAGTATCCTGAGGGAACAAATGACATATGAACCAATCATTGGTCACCGTCTACCATGGGACTGCATCTTCTCACGATGCTCCACTGCCTTGTGGATCAGACATTCAGATCGAAGGCTCCGGGTGTGCCTCCCTAAGAAAACCACCTGCTTCGGTCTGGTCACCTGGTCAGTATCACAGCCCTCACACAAATCAAATGAGATTTGTGCGGCGCATATATATCTGGTGCCACGTTTGTACCAATATTTATGTGTTTAAATAAATAAATAAAACTATTGTACAGCTTTATATTAAATTCCTTGAAAAGAGATCCCTACGCTGAACTTCGTGTTTTTCATTTTTAATGTTTAAATAACAATTGTCTGTTAATTTCTGGCTTTCACTACCATTATACGATTTCATATGGGAAGTTTGCATATGGATGTTTAAATGATAACGTGATAATAATCTGATGTTTCTCGAAGTTGACATCATCACAACCTGTAGAAAGTATTGATACTAATCCTCTCTCCAAACCTAATGATATATAAATAAAGGATTGTTTTCTTTCTGTTGGTAATCTTGTTGTCTAATCAACTGAGCTATAACTACACAGTCATTCATTTGGCAAGAAAATTAAATCTTCAACGGTAAACAGGTAATTGCATAAATTAGTGAACTTTTGCAAGCAAAGATGGATAGTGGCTAGCAGTGGAATCCAGTTTGACGCGCGTCTCGTCCTGTTTGGGACTCGTCAGCCGGATGTACCTGCATCTCAAAGTTGATGTTCACTGTGGGACTCGAAAACAGAACCTTTCGCTTCAAACGCCATCGCATTATCCACTCGGCCACTGAGTCCTGATGGGAAGATTCAAACAAATAATACTAAATGAAGTAAACTGTTGCGTCAGTTACGGCTTGAATATGTCCAAAACCAGTCTTTTGTAAAATGAAAAGGTTGTTTAGGAAAAATTTAGAATGATTCACCTTCAGGTATTGAGTTACAGTCAATATAGTAAAATAAATTATGTAAATATTAATCCGTAACTGGAGAGGTGTTATGTCAGGTAATTCAGACAATGATAGTAATATTAATAGCAGTAATAAAATCGTACAATAAGTGAAATGCTGTCCGAATGATTATGATATGGTATCCATGTGAATTGAGAAAGATGAATTCGCAGATTAAGAATGAAGGGGTGGGGTAGAGATGAACCTGAAAAGTGAACCGAAGGAGCCATGTTTATAGTATATGGTTTTCCGTACACTATTACTTACTTACGCCTGTCACTCCCGATGGAACATAGGCCGCCGACCAGCATTTTCCAACCCACTCTGTCCTGGGCCTTCTTTTCTAGTTCTATCCAGTTTTTGTTCATTCTTCTCATGTCGGTCTCTATTTCTCGGCGTAATGTGTTCTTTGATCTTCCTCTTCTCCTTTGGCCTTGAGAATTCCATGTGAGCGCTTGTCTTGTGACGCGATTGAGTGTTTTCCTCAATGTGTTTCCTATCCACCTTCAGCGGTTCTTCCTGATTTCTTCCTTTGCTGGAATAAACTGTTAGTTTAAAGATGATAAGTAAGAATACAATAGTGCCTAGATATTGGTTGAAAATGATAATTTCTAACACTTTAAACAAACTCAAAATGTGTACACCAAACACCCTTAGATATTTGTTTAATTCGGCATATCGATTGTTGTATCCAGATAGATTGACAATTTTTTTTAAAAAATTTTTAAACATTCATTAATGAATCTTTTCTTATAGGTTTTGTTGCTGATTATACAGGTACATTCGTTTGGTCATTAAGAATATGTGGTGTTATTCTATTATGCGCTGGTTTCACTCTTTTCTTAGAATTCCCTGTTCGTCGATTATATCAATCTTCAACTAATCATCATGATAGTAAGAATAATAATAATAACAACAACAAAGGTAAACCAATTGATCAATGTATTCCAGTGAAAGATATTGAAGCACAAGATATCATGAGTGATGGTATTGTAAATGGTTTAACTAATGGTAAATGTCATTCATCAATTCCTATAGATAATAATTTAATTCCACTTATCGATACAAATGCACAAATGACTGATTAACAGTATACAACTAGAGTATAGGTGTTTTTATTTAGAATATTAATCTTAATACAACACTAATCATACTCATTTATTTGTTGTCATGCCTTCATAATATTATGTAATTGATAAACTACTATTCTTTTTCTTCGTCATTTTTACATCTCCAAATTATGGATCTAATTTATTTCTTCTTGATCAGTTTACAAGTTCAACTCCCTCTTCTTTTTTTTGAGGGGGGGCTGGGAAGGAATGATTCTACCAAACAATACAATTATCGATTCTGTTCTCATCACATACACACACACGCGTACGCACGCACATGACTTATTTGTGCCTATCAACTATTGGTTGTTTATGTTTTAATAATCACTAACCAGTTCGAGTTATATAGTCAATTCTTTTTTCCACTTTTTTTTGTAATTAAAAGAAACATTTCCCATTTCATAATTTTTTTTTGTAGAATTATTGTCTAAATCTGTTTATTATTCTGATTTCATTTAGATAAAAAGGTTAATGTAAGCATATCCATACTACCCCTATGTATACCTAAAAGAATCTCTTCTGTTATGTTACTTATAGTAATCTTAAAGAACTAATTAATGCTAGGCATATTATAATATTCTTATTTTTTAACATCACTAATCATACATAACGACTTCTATTAGTGAGTATGTTTCTATGTACAAATGGAATATGTTTTCAACTGTATCCTGTCTCTCTCTCTCGCGCGCACACACACACACACCTACAAGTGGACGTCAATACATAATCAGTTTTGTTGATTTAGGTAGACATTATCAATAATTAGTAAAATAAATGTCATTGTCACATTGTATCATTACTATTGTTGATGGTGTTGTTCCCTTTTTTATTCCCGGTACATTCATTTAACGATTGTAAATTCGTATTCATTATTCTGTTTTATTATTAGTGACAGTATGTTTTGTAATACTATTGATAATAATAATAATAATGTTACTGTATGTATCATGTTAAGTAAAAGTATGATTTCACTAGTTTGATTCGAGTCCCAAACTAGGACAAAACAGTCGTCCAGGTTTTTTATAGTAGTCTAGCTTTAATCAACTCATGAATTTCAATTATTAAATTGCTACAATCTCCGCAAAACCCCCTTTCTGATATATTTATGTAAATAACTTGTTGTAATTACCTTGTGATTGGTGCGTGCTAACGAGTTGGATGTGACAGTTGACTTTCAACTCCGAGCCACTAGCAACGAAAAGTCTGATATGAGTGAAATGATCTGAAACTGATGACACTCAAACTAGTGATATTACATTGAAAAGAGTGTCTGTCGATGAGCCGTGTTTTTCGAGCAATGTTTCAGGTGATGTGTTACCCCACCGATATAAATATAAATGTCCTTTACTCCCTGGGTGCAAGAAACTCCAACGAACTACCCTCAAATTTTGGGGGAGATGGTAGCCAGCTTCTGTTTTGCGAACTGAGGGAAAGTATCCCAGCTTCTTGGAAAGAATCAATCGTCCCTGTCTTTAAAATGGACAATGTAGTCTACGCAACAACTGTAGAGACATAAATCGACTTTTGATCACGTCCACACTATTGACTTTCCTCACACTTTACACATAGTAGAGAACCCATAAAAGACTGACTTGGAAGAAACAGACTGGTTTTCGTTCAGGTCATGAATGCTTTGATCAAAACTTCACCCTCAACCAAATGTTAGAATACCTATACGCTGATTACAGACGATCAGTCGTGTTCCTTGATAGTAGGACTATCTTCAATTCCTTGAACAGTATTTGGACCGTATATTGCTAAAGGGTTTACTTGAGAAATTTAGAACTGCGCGAAATCACCGTAGGGAGGATACAACCATCTCTTCTCATTGTTTTAATCCAAAAACGAGGTTAGGTAGGGTCTCCTAATCGCACCATTTCTTTTCAATGTTTCCACCGATCACATTTTGGAAATAGTCTTGAAGGAAGTAAATTATACATGTGGTGAGAATCTGTTAACTGGTTAAAACTTTACGATTTTGAGTATGACAGCGATATTGTTTTACTGCACGATGATGCGCAAGCTATACAAGTAACACTTAATCAGTGTCCATAAGTGTGTAACATCAAAACTGCCATGAAGATAGAGATTTGAATTTAATTTTTTGAAGCCGGTCAATTTATCTCCTGGATTAATTCAAAGCTGAACTAATTTTGTATTATTAAAATATAGTAGCAAACGGCAGCACTTCTGTCTGATATCTGGTCGTAATGCTGGTTACAGTTATGTATTTTATTTATTTAATCACATATATATTGGTACAAAGGACACCGCATACATATGCGCCACACAAACTAATGAGAATGGGAGGAGAAGGAAGAAGATGCGTATATATAAAGGAAGGAAAAAGAAGAAAAGGAGAAGAGTGATGATGGGGGAACTGAAATGTACAACCAGAAGAGCTCTCTCAGTTAGGAAAGTTATAGTCACTCTTTATGAAGAAAGTAGAAGAAGGTTAGAGCAGGATCGCCACTGGCTTCTATTCTGAGCCATATCTGATAACGTCTCTAGCCACTGTGTTGCACCATCTCTCGGACCCCAGCCAGGGAGTCGTGAAGGACCGACAGAAGCCAGTCCTGTGTAGCTTTCTTTCATACCACGACACCATGTCATACACTGACCACCTCTCCGCTTTTTTCAACCAGTGTCGGCAAATAATGCATGACGTGGAATTCTCTGGGATGACATTTGTAAAATATGTACAAGCCATCAAAGTCGGTGTTTCAAGATGGTGACACCAATTGAATTGTCGTCTCTGCTCCCGAACACACGATGCCGAACCTCTGCATTACTAACATGGTGTTGCCACTGGATGTCAGCAATTCTTCGGAGACAACGATGATCGAACACAGAGAGACGTCTAACATCCTCAACTCGGACAGTTATGTACGTTCAGCATGAGCTCGATGTACACGAAAACAAGATCAAAGTCCACAAAACTTCGTCGAAGCTTGAATAAAATAACCTGTATATGATTGAACTATTTCAAGCTGAACATGGAGACAAAAAATGGATTAATCCATTCAAAGCAATTAGTTGGATAATATATCTTATCCTAGTATTATACGTCTCAGTACAAGTAAGGCGATTACACACTGGTTCCAACAGACAATGATTAGTTGGTTCGATATGTAAAATATTAGATGCTAACCCAACAGTCCTGGGTCCAGTCCCTGATGGTGTTGTGAATGAGAATCGCTCTTCGACGAAATTTATGATTTTCTCGATTTCACTGTTTGATATTGTTATTAAATGTCAAATCATTCATTCAGAGTTTTCTTATTGATTATTATGTCCAGTGATGTAGCCTAACGTTCACATTTCAGAATAGTTCTATAGAAGTAAGTCACATAACTCGTCAGTGATTCATATCCAGTATTGTATTATTGTACATAATTAATGATTATTCAATGTGAAAATAAAATGATTTTGCATATTTGATTACTTCACTTCTCATTACATGAAATTATTAGAACTATGAATAATATTGTTTTATTGTGGGACTCCTCAACAGTGTGCATCCATGATCCCGCCTCGCGAGGCTCGAACCCAGGACCTATCAGTCTCGCGCGCGAGTGATTAACCACTAGACCACTGAGCCAGCCGATATCCAATAGTGTTAATGTCTAACTTCAACCAATCCACGAAGTTGAGAAACCATTCACTAATGTCTTCACAAAACCCCCTTCTGATAATGATCATATGCTCACTAGTGACTGGCTCCATGAGATATTTCCTGGAGTTCTAGTGAGAAGCAGTAACCGATGGAGTTCAACCAAGTCTGTTGGAAGATATCAACTCACTGAAGACAATTGGTGAATGGTCGCTCAACTTCGTGGATTGGTTGAAGTTAGACATTATCACCATCGAATGCCGGCCCAGTGGTCTAGTGGTTAAGCGCACGCGCACGAGGCTGGTAGGTCGTGGGTTCGAATCTCGTGAGGAGGGATTGTGGATATGCACTGCTGAGGAGTCCCACAATTGGACGAAACGGTCGTCTGGTGATTCCAGGTTTTTCATAATGGTCTAGCTTCAATTGACTTATGATTTCAACTACATAAAATTACTAAAATCTCCACATAACATCCTTCGAATAATATTGTTTTCAATTAAGGTTTTATTGAATAATTATTAAGTTTGCCCCCAAATGCCCTGGTACGGCTGAGAGTGGGGAGAGTCACCTCTCCCTCTCGAAATACTCTCATATGGCCAGCTAATATATAGCCTCTGCCAGGGAAGTCCTACTCACTGCCTTCTCGTGGCGGTCTTGTTGTTTACGAAATTGAGAGGACGAAAAGCGAATGTCCGGCGCTTTAACCGGGTTGGTGGACATGGAGGGTCCACCTAGGGGAGTTGGAAAACCCTGATTCCAAACCAGTGGTGCACATGGGCTCCAGTATCCTGAGGAAACAAATGGCGTACGAATCAACCGTTGATCACCGGCTACCATGGGACTGCATCTCCTCACGATGCTCCACTGCCTTGTGGATCAGACATTCAGGTCAAAGGCTCCGTGTGTGGCCCCCTAAGAAAACCACCTGCTTCAGTCCGGGCACCTGAGCAGTATCACAGCCCTCACACAAATCGAATGAGATTTGTGAGGCGCATATTTATCTGGTTCTTCCTTGTACCAATATTTATGTGTTTAAGTAAATAAAGTTTTAATCTTTAGTTTATTAGAAGTTTCGTTAACCAAATTTGACCTTGGCATAACTATCTGATGTCGAATTTAGATTATCAGTTTGACCTTTTTATTGATTCAAAATAATCAGACATAGTTTACTTATTCGGATTATTGCGAAAGTTTAATTTTTATTTTTATATTTTAGAAAAACATCGAAGTATTAAAATGGAAATGTTATGGGAATTATTTAATTTGTACGTTCTTAATTCTGCTAGTAGTCAGTCGTCGTGGGCTACAATGTAGGACCAGGCACATCTATTCATCGGTCCAAGTTGCCACACCTCTTTAGCACGGCTAGATTAACACCGAATTCATAGAAATACTTACTTCAATGGTAGTAATATATAAATGAAAGATCGCATATAGGGATATAATACAAGGGGAAAGAATTGGTTCGTAGGAAGAACGGTATAATGTAATTTTAATCTTATGGTTTAAGGGAAGACAAAGAGTGTATACACCTACGCCATCGTGATCGATTCTGAGCCATGTCACCTAGAGTCTCCAAGCATTGGTTACGATAGTTATGCGGATCCCAACCAAATAGTATGCATCTACACAAATGGCTTAGACTAGAAGTTAATGACTTTAAAGAATACTGCTAGTAGACTACAACTAAATAACCTCTGTAATATATTGGGTACTGGACAGTTAGAAATCTCTAAAAGTAAATGGTTTAATCGAAAATAACTAAACATAAACTGATTAAGCAAAGATGGATAGTGGCTAGCAGTGGAATCCAGGACGCGCGTTTCGTTTTATTAGGGACTTGTTAGCCGGATGTACCTACATCTCAGAGTTGATGTTCACTCTGAGACTCGAACCTAGAACCTTTCGATTCAAACGACATCGCGTTATCCACTAAGCTACTGAGTCCTGATAGCCACTTGCTTGTGCAATAGGGTGAAATTGAAATTTACTTAGTATTGTTTGTTTGGATCTTCCCATTGATGTGTTTAGGACTCGGTGGCTGAGTGGATAACGCGATGTAGTTTGAAGCGAAAGGTTTTGGGTTCGAGTCCCAGAGTGAACAACAACTGTGAGATGTAGGTACATCCGACTGACGAGTCCCTAACAGGACGAAACGCGCGTCCTGGATTTCACTGCTAGCCACTATTCATCTTTGCTTACCATGCTTGTGAATTAAGGCTATATTGAGGCAATACGCACATTATGCACATGTGCCAATTAGAGACTGACCAGTTACAGTTCTAAACATCAATGGGAAGATCCAAACAAACAATACCAAGTAAATCTATAAAGTGATTTTTTATACGTCCATATTTTTTTCACATTTAGCTTGATGCAATTAGTTTTACTACTTAATTCAGATTATCAAGTCAGCATTTGTAGTGCTGTACAGAAGCCTTCAAGGGCGTATACTAAGGTTTATTGAAGCCTTGGCTATACGGAAATTGAAACCTCATTTATGTGTTCAAAAAGAATTTGTTCTTACCCTTAACATCCCCTAGTAATACTGATTTATTATCCAGAATGGTTATCACATTGTTTCTGTGTACTTTATTTATTTTCTTTCTTTGTTATGGTTTACCTTTAACCTGTGTAGTTATTTACTTACGTCTGTTACTCCTAATAGAATATAGGCCTGTGTAGTTGACCTTTTAATTTTCATAGAAAAATGTCTTAACATGTAAGTATATGTGTGATCAGATTGTTCAAAATGTATTACACAAATATGCAGGTACATCCAGCTGACGAGTCCCAAATAGGACGAAACGCGCGTCCTGGATTCCACTGCTAGCCACTATCCATCTCTGCTTACCATGCTTGTGAATTAAGGTATATCGAGGCAATACGCACAGTATGCACATATGCCAATTAGAGACTGACCAGTTGCAGTCCTAAACACATCGATGGGAAGATCCAAACAAACAATACTAAGTGAATTTATTACACAAATATATTACATAATTCTGATCAACTTCGTCTTCTCAATGTATTATCGAAAATTTCCGTTTTCTTCTTGTAATACAAAACCGGAACCAAATCTTTTTTGTAATTATTTAACTTGTGTTCATGTAAAGTATCGATAAAAATGGATATTAAGGTAGTTGAAAGCATGAGTCAATTGAAGCTAGACCACCAATGAAAATCTGATTTTCGGTAGACGAGTGTTGTGAGGGTCGGTGTCTGAAATGTTACACTAATAAATAGTATGATACAGGTTAACACTTCCTCAACCCCCCAACTCACTACTTGAGCGAGAAAGTGCATTGGACTAGCGAATGGAATGGAAAAATACTCATATATACATATCTCGAGAGCCAATCAGAAGTGGCATAAGGTCATTAGGAAATTCATTCATTTTAACCCCAATGCACTTGACCTTTAGTCTACTTCTGGTTTTTATCGATTGATCTTTTACCACTTCTGATTGGTTTTCCATACCAACTAGTTGTCATTGTTTTCTTTAAAACCTTTCGTTATATATGATGATCACCAAGTGTTTTCATTGCATTGTCACCTTCATTTTATTACTTTTCCTTTACCCCCACCATGTTGTTATGCAATCTTTGTGTAGTACATGCAATTTCCGGATACTTTATTATATAATTTACTTTTTCCATAGTTGAAATCATGAATCAATTGAAGCTAGACCACCAAAAAAACCCTTCTGATCTATAATCATAAGCTC